GACAAATTGGATCTTAAAGATTTTGATGCGTACAGCAAGACCCGGATAGTTTCTCCGGAACTATCGGATCCTGCGTTTTTAAGCCCAAAAACGTACTATTTTCGATATAACGCAAGGCATAGGGTTCCCACCCACACAACCTTACATTAATTGTAGTACTGTCATTGAATACATGCCTCATTTCGTCGACTTGAGGTCTCTATGATCGAGAGAGGAGGAGTTTATATTATTTATCGATGGTGTTTTTGATCGGCAAGCCATATCATCTTCAATTTTTCACCAAATCTCAAGATTGAGCCACCAATTTCGAAGGCTTCCATCTCCTTCAGGCGGGCAAAATCACTCCGAAAATTCAGGCAAACAAGTTATGAAAGAAAACAAACTTTATTTGCGAATAATTAAAACATTACACACTTTTCCCTTGGTCATGCCCGTAATTATATAAAAGATTACTTAATTCTCTAAAAAAGGAAAAAATAATCATTGAAATCGGATAATTTTTAGCAAAGATACAGCTTACTGAAATTTATAAACATGTTGGTTCCAAACAAAAATGAAGATTTAAATTAATTTCTGTTTTATTTGTCGATTATGTTTATCGAAAAAGTAACATTTGATTTATTTATCTTTTGATACGTTGCATTATTTTATTTCTTATTAATCTGGCTTTTGATAGCAATATGCTTTGCGAATTTTTCGCACGGGCCTACTAGTTATAATATATTCGGATATATTTTTGTATGTTCTCTAGGAGTGTATTTATATTTGTTTTTTATTACAAACTACCTCATCTCTCCCATACAGAAAACTAAAAAACTATATACAGTATTTTAAAATATTTAACCATAAGACTATTAAACCTCAGTTCTACGGGTACTCAATTAGCTTACGTAACGAGTTATTACATTGTTATTTAAAGTTTTTTTGAACATAATTTTGTAACATAATGTATGTGTAACATAATCTTCTCTTAAAAGTTGTTAGTAGACAATTTTATTTCTTCGCTATCAAAAGTATAGAAAATAATCAGTCTTTTCTGAATTTGTTTTTTTAAACTAACTCAACTAACTAAACTAACCGTTAAAACGATTTTAAAGAAACTTTCAGAAATGTTATAGAAACTAAAGGTGTTGCCAGTGGCACTACAGGGTAGAAGCAACAAAAACAAAAATATATAAATAAAACTATAGTGAAAAAAATAGTATGACTTGATCGAAGTTCAAAACTAGATAACATGTAACTGAAATAAATATAAAGAAATAGATTTGAAAATAATTTTCTAAAAATGGCGATAACATTTTAATTTTTAATTTTCCTTATCTGAGAACTATTAAAGAATATGCATATAAGTAATCACAAATTTATGAAGGAAGATAAAAACAACTCTCTAATCAAAGAAGATATCATTGCAATTTAATCTTCTATAAACAAAAAAAGTTAAATATGACATATTTATATAGATAATAACAGTTAAAATAATTACTAAATAAATCTAGACTTTATTCATAAAAATATAGTTTTCTCTCCGTAAGCAAATATTTTAAACGGGGTAACTGAAAAATCCATACCTGGTACAATAATTTAAAAACTTGTATAAATACGAGAGCTCTCTAACAAACGGCAACAGTGTTGGGTATTACTATACAAATAGTTCTGTATCAATTTCATCAAATTTTATATGATTGTGCGAAGAATTTTTCCGAAACATTAAATTTATTTTTCCTAATACATTTATTTATATTTATTTCCACATTTTCTTAATGTATGAAATTGAAATGATTAAGAAGCTGTAATAATGACCTTAGATCCTGAAGATGCGTTTTGACTATTCACGAACCATGGGACAAACAAATTCATGACAAATAAATATATAAATGATTATTTACTAAGCTACCATTCTTGTTTTTTTATATTTTCCATCTGCTGTTAGTATCAAGAGAAATGAAATGAATAGTTTAGTTTAGCAATAATGTCGTTATTAGTAAAGTTAGATAATTGTGTTTCCCATAGTTTGTGAAATGTCTAAACTCATCTTGAAGCTATAAACCTTTCTGGGCATACTTTTTTTATGGTATAATTATGTCTGCTTGATTTTCAAAAAAAGTATATTAATTATTTATTTCAAAACCTAAACCAATCGTGCTAGTTAACAGAGACATATATTTCAGTTGTAGTTTAGTAATAAAAAACATTTAACTAGATGATAAAAGTGAAGAAATTGGGTTGATAAGATCTCTCATCTCATAATAACGTTCTGACGAATTTATATAATGAGAAATTAAGATACCCTAGATAAAGAAGAAAACAGATATATTGGATTGTGCGAGTATTAGGAGCAATTTGTCAAAGCAATTTGTCCTCAACTAATGAGAAAATAATTAATCAGGATGAGTAATGGCTCAGTTAGCTAGCATTAATCACAAATTTTGATAAACCCGGCTTGTGATAGTGTGTCCTCATCATTAGGGAAACATTACCTTTGGAATTATAATAAAGGATTATCCATAGTGTAAACGATCTATAATGTGGCGTAGTTTTGGCTTGTAGAGTCCTGGCTAATTAGTCATTTCAAATTTACTTACCGCTCATTTATACATTAATATTAAACTATAAACAAACTTACAATGATTTCAGTTTTTCTTTTTCTTTGTCTATGGTATTAAGATTCTAAAATATTTCATATTTTTCTTCTGTATTTATAAATGGTCGAGACGTTGGCATATAAAACCTCCAATCGTGCGCCATTTTGAAACAAAATGTCAGATGGAAATATCGAGTTCCAATTTAAATGCTGGTGTGATTTTATTATTTTGAAACAGAATCTTATATCGGTTGTGTTCAATCGGGTTAAAATCTGGACTTGGAACTGGCTACATCATGCACCCACGGGCTGATCTACGGAAGGGGGCTTTGGGGCTGAAGCCCCCTCCCCAAAATGGTAAAATATAACCATGTTTTATGGAAAAAAATTTAAAAAATATCTCTTAAAGTATTATTGTTCGTGTAATTATATTTAAGAGGACTTCAGGAATCACTTGAACACCATTTCATATAGGTGGTTAGTTTCTTTCTTTTTTCCAAAGTAATTATCGTTATTTTTATTTTAAAAAAAAGCTTTCGGGCTTAAGATTAAATCCTGGATCCTCTAGTGCATGCACCTAATTCCAATCTCTCTCAAACAGTCAACCACAATACGTCATATTTAATAGATCCTGATATTATCCATTATTAGCAAGAAATCTTCGCCATATAGGGCTAAAAAGCACTACATATTTTATTATTTATGTCTGTACCTCTTTGAATTCAAACATATTTACCATTCAACAAATAAGTCAGTGTGGACGTTCATGAACATTCTAGCAGAGAAATAACAATGAACTAGTAATGGGCAAAATCGTTCTTTTTAAGGAATTAGTCTCTTTAGTTCAGTTAAACTTATTGAACAAGTTCAGTAAACTATTTCATTAGTTCATCGGAGTGTCCGATTTCAGCGCTATCTAAAGTAACACATGTGGTACTAGATCTAGTATCATCAAGTTACAGTAGATGGCGAAAGTCGTAGTTCACTAAGTGAACAATTACTGTCGCCATCTACTGCAATACAGATAGTACTAAATATGTGAGGTTCTCTGCTCCAATTTTAATATATTTTCAAAAATAACAATCTGTACATTTGACTTCCGATTGATTTTATGTAATAAAATCTACTCACTTAAAATTTATAACTTTAAACAATTTTTTTTTTTTAGTATTTAAAATTTTAAAAACTAAACATTTCTGTCATCATCCTATGAAATATTATTAAATTATCAAAAATAGTATGACAACTTCTGTTTTAGTATTTTGACTTATCTAATATTAACAAAAGTACGTAACCAAACTTAAAAACAATAAATATTAAAAAAATTATCTCCCTACATTTTATTTTTTGGCTATCCTAAGGATTAAAAATACATCAATCAAAAATTATTTTCAAGGAAATCAAATCTTTTTTTTTTTTTTATCTCTATTCACTAAGAAGACCATAGGTCTCCAATGCATTGAAAAAAACATTTTCAATTATATCTACACTGCTTGCTGTGATTAGTAATTATAACAATTCAATATCAATTGAACTAATACAATCAAAAAAACATTTTCTCCAGTGTTTTTGTTGTGCTCTAATATAATGGAATGTTAAGCCATTTTTAGTGAAATATGAGTATATAAACCAAATAAAATTGTTTCCATATATTATCTTTGATTGATTTTTATTTTGTTATTAATTAATTTAAATTTTTAGAAAGTCTATTTTACAAATCAGCAATTCTAATCTTACATACTGGAATGAACTACTATTGCTACTGCACAATCGGAATATGGTTGGAACACTCACTTTGAGAACTCTTGCTCTATTATATATATATACCTTTACAATTTTTACTATCTATTCTGTAAAGATTTAATGTTTATGTTCTTACTGTGTAGGTTAGAGAAAATGACATTCTAATCTGATAGTTCATAAAATTGATAGAAAATAAGAAAAAATAATAAATATATAAGTTGAATAAGGTCTATAAGAAACAAATAAAAAGGTTTTTGTAGTTATTAACAAAAATTTATTAATAAATAGGAAAGAGAAGATCCAGGATAGTGGTGAGAAAATAACTTCTAAGTTAGTGAGCTAGGTCCTGGGAGTTGGGAAAAATTGTTTACGGTAACTATAGTTCACAAAGAACTATAGTTCACCAAAAGTAAGACCAGTACTCTAATTACTTTATAAAATTATTTATAAACTAATATAAATCAAGGTATAAATTAATTTTGCCTATTAATTTTTACTTATACTTTTTGCTTTAATTTATTTTCTCGCATAAGTCTTATCAGTAATGACTAGATAGCAATATAAATTTCTAGTTTGTAAATATTATGTTTTTTAATTGATTAGTTTGCTTATTTTGATAATATATATGTTGCATTTTATAATATATATGTTGTATTGTTGCAGAAGGGAAGCAGAAATGGGGCTGGCCAGCCTCCTCCTTTTGGGGGTATGTGCCATGAGCACCCATGCTTACCTACCTCCGATGAAGGTATTTTTTCTTTAAAACATTACACATATAATTAATGGATTATTTTAATCATTTAAATTAATTAATTAGATGAATAGATGTAATTTAATTTAACATCTGAAAAAAGATCATGTTCCTTTAGTGCATAATATCAAAATTATTACAGGGAAAAGTGTTACAAAAATCTAACCATTAAAAAACCGCTATATTTGTGGATGCTTTAAAAACATTAGGAATGATTAATAATTAATTTTTTTTAAATTAACTCCAATAAGTAATAAAATACGAAATTAAATTATGCAATCTCCATTTTAAATTGTTTTCTTTTTAATTAAGTTAAATATTACAATAATTAATGTTTAGTTTTTATGCTTCCTCAAGGTAGTATCCTTGGTCCTATCCTTTACACAGTTTATACAGCTGACATCCCAACCCACCCTGACACTGTCATCATCCCATATGCTGATGACACATGTATCCTATCTGTTAATAATGATCCATCAACTGCATCCCAAACACTCCAATCACATATTACAAACCTTGAAGAATGGTGTAAAAACTGGAGAATTAAAAATTAAATTTCAATAAATCCCATCAAATTACCTTTATCCTGCGTCGCGAACCCATGACCTCCTGTCCTACAATATCCTTTAGTAAATCCTCACTTATCCCAGTTGAACAAATCCGTTTCCTAGAACTCCACCTGGACAAACGACCCACATGGAATTCTCATACAAGACTGAAACGACAAGAAACCGCTCGACGTTTCCGACTACTCCAACACTTACTAGACAAACGCTCTAAGCTTTCAATCAATTATTAATGACTCATATATATGACAATAATAAGACCTATTTAGACCTATGCAATTAAGCTTTGGGGCTAAACTAAACCATTGAATTCCTCTCGTATCCAATCCTTACAATCCAAAAACCCTTCGTAAAATCCTCAACGCTCCTTACTTTGTCACAAATAAAATCATCCATAAAGACCTTAATGTTCCATATGTTTCCGATTTGGCCCAATCCTTCCATCCATCCTTAAATAAAAAACTATCCTTCCATAAAAAACTCCAGAACCATCCGAACCCTCTCGTTTCAAACCTTGCTTCCTCCTCGATCCCTGATAACTACTTATACTACTATAACTAATAATATACTACTTATGTAAATATATTATTAGAGTGCTACCAATGGGTAGTTTCTCAACAAGCTTTTTCATGTGATTGTATTATTACTGTGTCAATATCAATGAATAAAAAAAAAAGTTTTTATGCTAATGAAATATAATAAATTCACAGGAGCATTTCCTTCCGGAAGCTCTTCTGAGGGAAGTTATGGAATTGGAAGGCTACTTAGAAGACCCAGCCTACCCACAATTGAGATCTGGTGATTATCAGGAAAATCCTACAGTGCGTGATCATGAGTATTTACAACACAGCAGCCTCTGGGCTAATCCATTCATTTCAGGTAAAAAATATTTATAATAATTTTTTACTAAATGAATTATTTGGATAATACTGGTTACATCAGTTAACTATATATTTCAACTAATTATTGAACTAAAAATTCAAACATAAACGAATAGATTAAAAAAAAAAAATTTTTCATAGGTGGTAGGTGATTTAATTGTAACTCATATGTTTTATTTGTAAATATGATGGACTACCATCTATAGCCAATATTTTTTTCTAATTTAGTCAATTTTTATTGTGTTGTTGACTTTTATAATTAAAACTTATATATTATTTTTATGTTTTAATTAGAAAACAATGAGAATACCAACCTTCCTGGAATACAAAGACCTGAAAATAAACAAGAAACATTGCCAGCTTATTGTGATCCTCCAAATCCTTGCCCAATTGGCTATACAGGTAAAAGTATATTAAATTGCATAAATGTTTATATATAAGCGAATTTATTTATCTCATGACTATTGTATTTTATGAAACATTATAAGTTTTTTCAGTAACATTGTAGCAGTACTTTCAATTAATAAGAAATCTAATCTTTTTTCAAACAGCTGAAGAAGGATGTCTCGAAGAATTTGAAAACACAGCAGCCTTCAGTAGAGAATACCAAGCAAGACAAAACTGTATGTGTGATTCAGAGCATATGTTTGACTGTGCAGCAAATCGTAATGCTAATGAGATCACTGAATCAGACTTCGATCGTCTAGTACAGCATTTCCATGTAAGTTAAGAAGAATTATATTTATGTTTATAGCAGCATTATTCAAGGTATTAATTAATGAAATAACCAATTTTCAGTTTTGAAAAAAAAATCTAGTAAATTAGAATTCAGTTAGGAATATTTTTATTTCTGAGAATGAAAAAAATCCAGTATGGTTACTAAAATATATATTCTATCTGGGCTTGCTTCATTAAAACCAATTAAACAATCAGCTGAAATTTACACTTGTATAAGCCAATCATTTTTAGTGTCAGCAGACTTTCACCTGAACTACTAATTAACTAACTTATTGCGATAAAAGTAACATCCTTTTTTTTTCAATGAACGTTCATTTATAAAATGATTTATTAATTGCTCATCAATTAACTAGTCAGTTGAGTTATTGTGAAAATAATTTAATTTTATCTCCAACCATTACTCAAGTCAAATTGTGAATGGTTTGCTGAAATCAGTTTACAATGAAGAATAAGATGATCTCCCAACAACTAGGGTCTTCTTGAAATAACTATCCCTTGAAATCTTCAATTTTCAACAGCAATTCTCTTCATTTTTTAGATTTTGCCACGCCATGAACCCATGTTTTGTACCCAAACTAACACCTCCTCTTACCCTTCCAACGGTAATTACCACACTATCTTCTAAAGTGGGGCCTGGTCTTTGGAGTAGTCCCAAGCCAACACTCAACAGGTGTCATATTGCTTTCAGCAAAAAAAGGATTAAAATATTAATAAGAGGTGTGGCTATTAAATAACGAGGCTGGCTGTAAAACATTTTATTTTGATTTCTTACATATTTACTTATCACCTATACCCCCTCCACCCTCCTGTACCTTTACAAAGCGCTATGAAGATCTTCCATTGTCTGAAACAATGCTGAAATTCTTCTGTCAGTTCCTTCCAGAACGGCTATCTCTGTCTCTCTCTCTCTCTTTAATGGAGCTCACACCTTCAATGGACTCAAATCTCATTACTTTTAATGCAGATTTCATCTTAGAAAATCAGATAGAAGTTGCATAGCACAAGATCCGGTGAACAAGGTGGATGGTCTATCACTGGGATGCTGTACTTGGCTAGAAACCTCTTGACAGACAATGCGGAATGAGTCAGAACTTCTTGGTAAAGAACCCATGATTTGTCCTTCCACAATTTAGGACATTTATTCATTATTATTTCACAGAGTTCAGTAAGAATATGAATATATTAATGTTTATAAACAGTTTGACCTTCAGAGGCCCAGTGAAGGTGCAGAATCCCATCAATAGTGACAAAAACAACGGTATCATTACTTTGTAGCCACATCTCATAGATGAGTAAATAGGATATTTTCATTATTTATGAATGTAGCTGAGTTGTAATCCCTAGGCGCTAGTAGTTGAAATAGGCAACTATTTAATTAATTTTGAACTTGAGTAATGGGATTTTTTCATTAGTTTGTAGTACTGAATTAGCTTAAAAATATAAATATAATACTAAATTAGTTTAAAAAAAAAAACGAATTATATTTTTTATAATAAATACTGAACAATATTTTTCTCTTCTTCTTGTTTTATAATTTAAATAGAGACAAGACCTATCAAATTATTTTTCAAATAATATTTCTAAAAAAAAAATATTTCTAATTATTAATTTTAAATGACTCATAATCAACAAAGTCATTGGCTATAAAATGCATCAATTTTTATATTTGTGACCATGAACGAAGAACTAACGATATTTATTTGAATATCTTTAGGTTGATGAAGGGCATAAGTCTCTTGTGGCAAAAAAATACCACATGAAAAAGGTGAGCACAATCAACATATTTTAATTGCATTAATTTTACTTAAGTATATTATGCTTAAAAGACAATTAGTTACTGAAGAATGTTGTGGCGAGGTTATGCCACAATCAAAGAATCAGGACATGTCTGAAGGGTATGACAGCGATGATGGCTTATCCAAGGTGTTCAACCCAGCAAAACTCACATATAGATATTAATATTTTTTTTTTTTTTTTTTTTTTTTGTCTATAACAAATATATTTGCGCCTGTCAAAATATTGTTGACAATCAGCAAATGTGATGACGATACAGGAAATAATGACATGACAGGCATGGGGAAGGAAAGTATTCAGCAGTACCTCTTCCCTAACTTGTTCCAATTACTTAGGTTGTCTAAGGAAGGAGATCCCTCATCCAACGCCTTTTTAGTCTCTTGCTCATGTTCTGAGGTATGTCAGCTGTGGCCATGTCTCCACAGAAGGATGGACAAAGAGCCTGCAGTCAGCTGATTAGCGGCCATTTTGTGGATACATGGCTTGAGTAACCTGTGCAAGCTGTTGGAGGATACTAAACAGGGGCTGTATGAGGGAGTTTAAACCATTGAGTAATTGGAGCAATTGAGGAGGGGCATTATTTTCAGCTGAAGGTGGCTGCTGAGTAGTTTCCCGCCTCATACCTGAACATGTTGGTTTGATGTGAGCAGATGTAGTAGCATTTTCTCTTCTTGTCATCTGGTTTCTTGATGGTTCCTGCAGCTGAGCAGGCGTAGCTTTCTGCGAAGCATTTTTTTGTATTGGCTGCTCTTTTCGCAAGGGCTGCTGAAGAGTCGGAAATTCTTCGAAACTTGGTGGTGGAGGGAGAGGTGGGGATCTAGGAGGATGGTTGGTTCTTGCTGTTCTCCTATGCGCCCTCAGATCCTTCAGGACTTGGCATCCTCGGTAGTTGGCCGGGTGGTCTCCAAGGCAGTTTGCGCAGGTTGCCTTTGTCTCCCTGGTCTTTAAGCAGGATACACTTTCGTGGCCTTGGCCACATTTAACACATCGTGGAGAATGGTTGCAATATGATTTTGTATGACCATATTGTTGGCATCTTATACACTGAGGTATAATTCTTTTTTTTCGAGGCTCCTCTACAACAATTTTTGTATAATAAATTGATTCAATTTCATAAATTTTTTCATTGAAAGTAGCCTTTGTTATGTCTATGAAAAACATGGGCAAAGGTTTTTTGAATCGAGAGTATACATTTGTGATGTTTGTTGCAATGTAACCATGTTTTTCTAAATCATTTTTGATTTCAGAGATTGGGGTGGTGTGGTGCAAATTTTTAATAACAATTCTTCTATTTTTGTCCTCAGGTAGCTGATATGTGTGGAATTCAGCACCTCCATTTCTAAGACTACTCACTAGTTTACGGTATACGTCAGGTGTTTTCGGGTAGACTGTTACACCTTTGATAGTTGTTTTCAGAAAAAAAGAATTTGGAGCTGCGTTGTTTTCAAGGAATAGGACTAATGCCTGATAATTTTGAACGTCGTTTATGTGTATTGGTGGTGGTTTTTCGTTTGTTTGATCATTTACTGGGGATTGTTCATTTTCGGTAATGGTATTAAGTACATCGTAAGAATTACTTACAGATATTGGCGTTGCATTTTCTGTTTCGGTTTTTTTGTATTTTCTTGGATCCCTAGATTCATTAGGAAAATTTCTTTTTTTACCCGTTACCAATGCCCAAGCATCACCACAAGCAGTGTCGATTAAGTCCATCCTTTCGTCCCTTACCACAACATTTGTAGTTGGGTTGGGATCCATTTTTTCGGTGTATATCACCTTCAACTACGTATGTTCACTTTCACACCTTCTTCCTTCAACTTCGAAAAAGAAAATTTTACGTTTCTACTTGAAAATTCAACTGGAAATTCAAATAACCTTTTTAGTTATAATTTTTTGTGTTTATAGGTTTCTAGCACCATATGATCATTAATATTTAATTTTAAAAAATGGATACCCACCTATAATATTTTCATAAAATTTTCAAAAAGACTTGTTCTATTTCTTCAACAAAAAATATATACATATACGCTGACAGTCATTGTTGACTTCGAGAAAGGTAGTGCTTTTACTCACATTTGGATCTCTTCACTAACACTTATGGTATAGGAAAAATTCGATCCCACATCTGGAATTTTTTTTTTCCTAGTCAGACAAGCACTTTTTCTCTTTCTTTGGTATCCTTTATCTATGTAACTAGGGGATGTACACCATTTGCATACAAGTACATCTCTAAAGTACAGGATGCTTCAAAGTGGTCATTTATGAGATACTGCATAGAGCAAAGGGGTTTTATATAATACTTAAACATCAAAAACCATTACCCTCCATCAATAAATGATTTTTAAAATCCAATAATTTTGTAAAATCCCAAACGTATCACTGGTGAACTTAACTACCGCATTCCTAGCAAGATTGCATCTTGAAACTAAATAACATGTTTGGATGCTTTCCTTCCCTCTATTCCCAAATGTCACCTTAAATAATCTTCTCTACATTAATCTGTCCCATTCTGGAAGAACCTATTAATGAGGTAAGTCTCACACCTGGAGTCTGATCTTTCACAGCACCATTAAGGCTTCTGTCCTTTTCTCTATTAGCTTTTACTTCAGCAGATTAGCAGCCTATTCTTCATCTTCTACAAGCAGAATGGGACAGGAATGAGCCATGTTATTTAGAACTTTAATTTAATCAGAAAAGGCTATTTGTTTGCAATTACTATAGCTTATAACATTTCCTGTAAAAATATATTCAATAGTTTTGAATAGTAGGAATTATTAATTTGTGAAATTTTAAGTAATTCCACAGAAAGATTACTTCATTAGGTATTACTAGACTGTTTTATGTTCTTGGAAGATCAGGTTATTTACCAATAACAGTCTGTGTATAATTATTTATTTTACACTTTAAACAAGAGGCTTTCGGTGTACTTGCTTATTCATCTCCATAACTACAACATTGATTAATAATATTAATAATTTATTTCTAGCATATAATTTTCTAATTGTCATGCAACAATTATCTAAGGTATACCTTTTATCTTAATATTTTTTATTTTAAAATTATAAATGATTGGAAGAGTGTTTATATTCTTCATCTCATATAGAATGATTTTAAGTTAAAATTATTATGTTTAAAATTTATAATAAAGTAGATTAAGTAAATAAAATTAAAATTATTTACTGACTTCTTAGCAGAAACACCTCTTCGTCAGTCATCTCACTAAGTGCTGAGCATTTACTATCAGCACCATCTGTACCAGGGGTCTCCAACATTTTTGGTCCACATTGAGACCTAGTCTAAGTTCTATAGGCCACATTGAGACTTCCAACTAAACAAGGCAGGCCATGGCTTGTGATGAAAAAAAAAATGTTCTATAAATGAAACTTGACGCTGTGAAATGAGCTTTCTAAGAGAAAAAAACTATGCATGTTGTAGTAACCTTGTTTGTGAGTAATTTGTTAAATTATGGTACATTTTTAAATAGTTTTTAAAATTTTACCATCCTGGGCCAGATTGAAGTTGCTTGCAGCGGTAGTTTGGAGATTCCTGATCTATACAATTAAACTTGTCAGCAACTTAAAGTACCCAATATCTCATTTTATACACCATTTTTAACAACTTTATTATTAGCCATTAGTTGTCAATTATGTTACGGAATATGAACTGCTTCTTGTTATTAATTTAGCACCTTTTTCTGATTTATTGATGTATGTAGAATAGTTTTGCACTTTGGTCAGGAGCTGGATTTATGTAATATTTTAATATTGTCAAAATTGATTTCATGTTTATAATTTTCCGCATGGCTTCATTAGGCAGTAGCTGTTTTACATTAAAGTTTTCAGATGCTTTTATAGTTGTAGATAGGTGTTTTCATATTGGTTGAGGCCATTCCAATATATGATTTTTGCAATTTTTACATAGAATATTATAAACTAAATTTCTTTGATTTTTAATAGGTGTTGAGTACTTTGTTTGTGTCAGTAAATTTCATGTAGGATGTCTAGATTTGAGGGCTAATTTGAAATCATCTTTGTCTAATTTTTTTTAAGTTTTTATAATAATATATGTCAGTGTTTCTCGATGTACATTAGGGATTTAAATGTTGTAATTATTGAGATGAATGTTGTGCAACTATACTGAAAGCTTCTCATATTTAAAGTGTAAAATAAATAATTATACAGAGACTTTCATTAGTAAAGACTTTGTTGACAGTATATAATAAATATTTCTGTTATGTTTCAGAGTGTGAATCCCTATTTAGAAGGCGAGCGGCTACCTGTAGCTGCTAAGAAGGGGATCCATATTGGCAATTGAAGGAGATAAAATTCCATTGTCTAAAAGTTACCGACTCCGGCATTCCTGAAGGCTATACTTATACTTTATTAGATAGTAGAAGTTTCAATGTCATATGGCATTTTTAATGTAGTTGTTTCTTCTGAATATATAAGCATGTATGTTCATTAATTAAAAAACAAAAAAAAATTATAATGGATTGTTAAAGGATATGTGAAGGATATATAGGCCCTCATAAAGGGAAAATATGAGGGCCTATTTATGATAATGGAAATGGTAACAGATTGATTAATTTATATGTATTCATATATTAAAAAAATTATCTGTGTATTCTATGTGTATTCCATTTAATTATTCTTAATCAGTATATAACACGGTATAATCATCTCTCAATTTTGACTTTACTAAAACATAACTTGTCGCATTAGAAAACTTATTGTATTGCTCTATGGCTTACCTGCCTTTTGCATAAATTTAGGCCTCATAAGTTTTTATTACTGAATTTCAGGAGTCAAAACTTGTGATTTTATGAACAATGGGCTGGTATAGCCATTGCAGTAAGTGAATCTTCCATCATTCTACATAAATGAATACCAACAAACATTTATGTAAGGAAACAACATCATTTGTGACAAACAATTGACAAAGACTGACAACACTAAGGTAACGAGCAATCACTGTCTCTTGTCATGATTGTAAAATTTAAGTGAGCCAATGTAATATCTAGACCATCTCGATAAGTGCATAATATATCCGGTAAAGTATATTATGCACTTTAATTTATTTGATGCAGCAGATTTCCATATGTGTATCATCTGCTTAACAATGTTTTGTATAATGCAGATGAAAACTATGTTGTACTATAAGTATGTTTAGTATTAAGATGCATGTTAAAAAAAATCTAATTTGGACCCTATGATTGTTAGTACGCTTCTATGTAGCAAAATGCTTCCAATCATTGTAAAAAATAAAGTATGATTCTTGATATTAAATCAATTAAAATTTATAAAAACCAGTCAAATGAAAGCTGAAGGGATTTCCAAGGAAAAAAAAAAAAAAAAAAAAAAAAAAGCATATTACATATCAACATTAATTTCGTTTTTGTGCACTATTTATGACTGTTTGATATTTATATTATCGTCTGTGTTTTAAATAAATGTATTGATCTCAATAGGTGTTTTAGAAACTAATATATCAATATATAATATTAATGTTAGTTTCGTTAGATCTATATCATCAAAATAAATAGATGTTTTAATTCCTTAATCTTAGCCATATGGTGTGAAAATTATTAAATGGATCTATCTCCGATTTGTTTTTCATGTTTCCCCTGAGGGTAGGCTCATTCATTTTTATTACTTCTTCACATTATAAGCCATAGGTTTAACTTAAAGAGGAAAAAAAAGAAAAAGAAAATGTAGACTGAAACATTTATTTTCTAAAATAATAAGAACAAATAAAAAAGATGAGGCTGAACATTGCAGAACAACGGTCACCTATCAGGCATATATGTGGTATATATTCTTCCCCGATGATGGTTAATTACATCCCAATTGGTACAAGTAAGAGTTTTCGGATTCATCAAATCCGTAAAAAATTTACCATCCAAGTGGTCCATTTCATGTTGTATTATCCTAGCAGACCAGTCCTTTGCCTCCCAGCTCTTCTCTTCTCCTTTCTCATCAATACCTAATCAACAATTTTTTCTTAGAAATTTTATTTTATTTTAAATCAAATTGTATTCTATTTGAACAATTATTATTCTATTAGCCCATGAAATACATGTGCTGAAAAATAAGAAAGGATACAACCTGAAAATATTTTCATTGAATAAGTATTAATTTATGTAGCTTAAGAAATATTTTAATGGTGAAATTGTGTAAAACAAAAAGTTAGAACAATAATGTTAATGGTGTGAAAAATATTCTAATTACATTTAACAAATAAAAATGTTTAGTAGTAACCTATAATATTTCTCTTTAAAGACAATTATCAAATATTAAATTTATAAATGTTTATTAAATGATTTATTTATCCTCTTGTAATCAGAAAAGTCCATCCTCTGGAAAAGTTATGAAATAAATAGATGATTCCACAGAAAATCAACAAAATCTAAGATATAAGAAAGGATATGCAGGTTAATCTGACATCTTTTTTCAAGATCCACATTATATTTTCACTTCAGTAACTTGAGAAAAAAAGGTATAGAAATATAAGACTTTAAAATTGCCACAAGAAGTAATAATAAATAAAATCATTTTTGTTATTAATCTAATTAAGTGGAAGAGCATCAGATAGAATGAAGAAACACAACAAAGATAGACAATATTAAGTAAGCTAATTATTAATAACAGGCCTTAAAATGAATAATTAACTTTTATTTGTAATCAGTTTTAATATGATTGGAACTTTTATTTTAATCTGTTTGAATTTCTTTAACAAAACTTTTAAACATATATATATATATATATATATATATATATATATATATATATATATATTATTATTATTATTATTATTTTTTCGGTTGGAGCTACAGACCATGAAGATCATTCGATTCCCGATTCAAGTACTGATATTACAGAAACAAATTGAAATTAAAATTTCCAATCATATTAAAACATACATATATATGTACAAAAGTTTTGTTGAAGAAATTCATTTTTACAAAAGTTAATTTAAAAAATCTTAATTGAACTCTACATTCTTAATCTCTCAAACAAGGGAAATATAAGAATTGGGTAATTTATTCAAGAAAAATCATATCTATAATCTAAGAACTTAAATACATAAAAGTTAAACTATGTTAAATAGTTTATTTAATTTAACCCAAAAACCTTAATAAAAAAAAAAAGTTCATTGAAGGATATTAATCTACTGTGCTATAAATCATGAGTGATAAATAGTCAGGACGCAGACATATGGCTATTTATCACCTATGAAGAGAAAAAAATGTGTCTTAGAACTTTTATTTATTTAAATAAAGTTGCTTATTTAATCTTAATTCTGAAAAAATCAGTAAAAGATTGAACTATAAATATAAATAATGAAAACAACCAAAAAGGAGAGTAATACTCCTAAAAACAATTTTTAAGATATTTCTAATAATATTAAAATTTAAATAGGTAATAAAAATAATCTCTGAACAAATAAAAATAACAATGGGATTTATTTCCATTCAACTAATAACACTAAATGATTCTGCATTTATACATAAATATCACTCTCAAATGTGACACAAAGGGAAAAAATAAAATAAAATAATGACCGATCAATGTAAGAGGTGAAAAATCAAAAATGTTTCAGGTAGGAATATTTTTAATATAAACTAATGTAAAAAAAAATAAAAAATATATTCTAAATGACATTGCAATCAACTTCCAGGCATTTCATATAAATATATAACTTGTAACTTGTAAAATAAATAAAAACCTGAATATGACAAAATACAATTAATTTACCAAAATAAAAAAAAAGCATTAAATGATAAGAAAAGATAACATATCTTTTATTTTAACTGGATATAAAAATAAAACCTAAATATTCCATTTCTATTATAAAGAATAAAGCAATCTTCTTTTTTTCTATGATATAAATATAAAGGCAATTTATACCTTTCACAGTTAAACAGATTACATACCACTTAAAAGAATCTTCTTAAACCGAGGAATTTCAGCGCTGTAACCACGCATGCTTTCACAACATTCTTCATCATCTATCCTATCATAATCAAGAATCTTCATCTCAGGATTCACCCAAATCTACAAAGTGATGCTGGATTAAAACATTCCACTACATCAAATATATTTAAATATAACAAAACCTTATACTTAAAATAATCTTAAACATAATAACTATAAGCATATTTTTCAGAAAATTAAATTAAATTAATTTTATTAAAAATTAGCACACTTATAATAAAAGAGATGATGTGGTCACAAATAAAACTCATAGCATAATGATATAAATTGAAATAATGACCTGGTTATTTTTAATTACTGCTTAACATTTTGGGTTAGCTACCCGTTTTCAAAATCTATTTTTCTCTTTCATTAAAACAATAATTCACAACACTGTTTCCTTGCCTTTGTCATATTTACCATTATACTATGAGTTTAATTTGTATATTTAAGATTCATTTTGTATTTTCAATTTATATTACAATATATGATTTTTTATTTCCAAATTGAGCTTAAAGCTATCGCAAATAAAACAATTTTATTTCAGACAATGCATCTTGTATAACTTCTACATTTATTTTTATGTATACCAATCTAAATTTCATTTATTGTTTTCCAAATTTCTCCACATAATTAACTATATTTATAGTTCTTGTTTCTATCATTCCCACATACTGTTCTTCTAATGGTTGGGCTATCAAGGGTCGGCTTGCCTCGATTATAAACTAATAAATATAAGTATTATAGCATTAATCAAGTGATCAAGTAAGCAGTAACAGTTCCCATTTTGACAATGTAGATATTGTATATATTGGGGAGCAGGGTAGCTCAGAGGGTGAGTACTTACTTCCAGAGCTCAAGGTCCCAGGTTCGAATCCGGCTGATGACTAGTAATTTTTCATCAACCGTGGGTCGATCCTGGGGCCTGGAGAGACCCTCATGGGACACAAATCCAGCCTCTATAAAGTTGGTACTCTTAATTATTTAATTAAGAGGGAAAACCTGGCGGTTTTAGGGTGATATCGGCCCAATCACACCTCCCTGTACAATCATTGGCCTTGTAATAAACAGTACTTCCTTACATTGTAATGGATCCAAGACCCGTCACGGGTTGTTAGTGCTATAGGTTTTTTTTTTTTTTTTTTTTTTTTTTTTTTTCAAGAAAAAAAGTTAAGCTGATTTTCTTTGATTTATATTAATCCTCCATTTCTACCAGGGGATTTGAAATTATTTATATAAAAACAAAAGACTCTTTCAGGAACGTAGGCCAAATAAATTTTTTCTTTGAAAAAACAAATTAGAATAGTTCTTAGCATTCCTTAAAACTGCTCTTGGATGACAATTTGTATAGAAACCAACAAATGCAAATTTTGGAACTAAATTTTCTTGGAAGGATTTTTTCCTGCTGTTTACTAAAATATAATAAATAAAAATAAAATAAAACTTATCAAGGTTTTTTTCCAAATTCAATGTTACTACAACCGTTGGAAAGCTGAATTAATGCTTTCTAAGCTATATTAATACTTTTTAAATTTAATTTATTGATAAGGTATAAATAAATAAAAACTTTTCAATCCTTTTTATTTCATATCTTTATTTATTTCTACTGTGCTTACGAAGGTTGGGTTTGTGCTACTTCATATAGTCTATAGAACCCTAAATTCTTGATAATGTTTGTTAAGATCAGTGGAATCATTTTTATGATATCATAATTTTTATGGTATTAAAAAAAAAAAATTGAAGGCTTTCATCCTAGGGCAAAATTTAACTTAAAATTTCCAATTTCAATAAAATGCATTAAGGTTTTTTGAGCTTCAAAAAACAAATATCTACTTTATTTTAATTAAAATCAATATTTACCCCAACATTTCTACATTGGCCATTCTAATTTGCTTCAATACTGTACTCATACTAGTTATAGCTAAATTAGAGCTCTTTTACCTGTACAACACTGGTTCTATCCACCTTCTGATTTGGGCAACCCATTAGAGTTAGGTTCAGCCATAGTTAGTTCTAGGATACTTTCAACAGAAATTCAGCATAAATGTGTTATCACATATTTATAATTACATTTATGTATCACTCATATATATTTAAGTAAAAACTCATTATTATGTATTTTATGTTTATTTTAAGAATGACTTAGCTCAATCCAAAATTGGTCTGGTACCAATAATTTGAGATAATCGGGATTCCACAGTATTAATTTTAAAAACTATTTTTAAAAAATATAAAAATTTAAATAATAATAAATCAATCAAACCTGAAAAGGAATATGTTCCATACCCCTTCTTTCATACAACACTGGAGAAGCATTAAAGGTTGTAACATCAGGGCACTGTATAGCAAATACTCTTAACGAAACTCCAATTTGAGGTGCAGCCAAACCAGCAGCCTTTGTCACAGTCATCAAATAGTACAATCTGTTGAACAGCTAAAAAAAATGTAGTATCCAGAAAGTATTATCATGCAAAACATAATTAAACAACACAATTTTTTAAATATTTTTTTAGGCAAAATGACAATGTTTTATGCCATTTAATTATTTTAATATTACTTTTTTTTTAAAGGTAATTTTTACACAATATTTAATAATAATATTTTTTTATTATAAAAATATTTATTAAGGTGCATTTAGACATTCCACAAATAATGGGAAACACAATTATTTAACTTAACTAACAGCGACATTATTGTTAAACCAAACTATTTATTTTATTCCTCTTGATACCGACAGCAGATGGAAAATATCAAAACCAAGAAACGAAAATACTAGCGTAGTTATTTTTGTTTATTTTTGATATTTTCCATCTTCTGTTGGAATCAAGAGAAATAAAATAAATATTTTTGGTTTAGCAATAATGTCGCTGTTAGTTAAGTTAGATAATTGTGTTACCCATAGTTTGTGAAATGTCTAAATAATGCATCTTTAAGGAAAAACATTTCAAAAACTATGGAAAACACAATAATACATTGCATGGTTGCCAAACTGTGTTGAATTGCTAAATCACACAGCACACTCATTAGCCCAAGAGAAATCATTTAAAACTACAACAAAAGAGTTAGTTGGGACCATTTACCACAGTAAAACAGTGTGCAGAAAAGAATGCACACGGCAAAGTTTATTTGGGACGAATAGTATATGTGGTGATGGAGGATGCCCAACAAGTTCAAAATAATATTCTCTGCCAATATCTCCATCTGCTCCCTTCCAACTTCAAGCTTCTTGAAGAAACCACTATTGTATGAGGGATGATTCCCTACTTCCGAACCACAGCCTTTTAATTGAAAAGTTTTCTATTCAAATTTAATTTAATAGTTTTTTCCCTATGCTGATGTTTTTGTTTCTTTTGGATGTATTCTATCTGCTGTCAGTAGTAAGATAAAAAAAAAGTTGAACCCAGCGCTAATAATGCGAGTTTGCGAAATGCCTAAATGCACCTTTATAGGGTCTCTAAAATATCAAGGTTACATTATGGAGTGAAAAAAATATCAAAATATTACATTTCTATAAATCCTAAAGGGACAAACGGGGAACTGACCAGGGGGGAGCGTTAAAAAAAATATAAAACACCATAAATAATTAACTTTACCCTATCCATAAAGCAACTGCAGTTCTTAGAGAAATGTTGAATGAAATAAAATTCAAATATTGCATCATATAAAATAGCTTAAGAAATAAATTAAGGTCCCAAGATATCATTCTAAAGTAACTTGCAGCTACCACATAAAAACAAATACAAGCAGCATTTAAAAAGCAACTTCTACAATTTAAAGAATTGAACAAGGCAACTCAAGGAACTTAATCATATATCATCAAGGAGTAAAATTACTCATTTCAAAAAATAAATTAATACATGAAATGTGTAACAAAAAAAAAATATTACCTTAATCATGGGATCAGTTTTTAATGTTGAAGGGTCAACTACTTTTGCTTTGATCCTCAAAATTGGATCACCAATTTGCACAACATGTTTGTATGGAGGAGTAGGGGGTTTTCCAAGCCACCAATTTTGATACCTAAGTTTAAATATGCGTAAGTTCATTTTCTTCAACATTTCGTCTACCAATATATCTGGAAAAACAACAATAAACATAAAAACTACTTGAAATTTAAGTAATAAGTTCTTAGTAAATATATTTTAATAAACTTGATATCATTAGCAAATATTTTTATATTTGTTAAATAAAAAAACTATGGTATTGGTTACAAATTTACAAGCAAAAATATTTAACAAAATAACAGAAGCAGTTATTTAATGATTTTTTCTGATTTGGATAGGATTATATTAACATTAAACATTAAAACTCACTAAATTTTACAATTTCAAACTGGATTATTTTTTTTCTAAATTGTAACTTAAATGTACATATATTTTCTTCTTTTTTTTAATCTATCACTAACATATTATACTCCACTTCCATCGTTAATATATTTTTATCACTAACTTTGACTAGATTGTAGTGTTGTAAAAATTAAAGGTTATAAATATCACCCAAAGAATAAGAAGGATACGTTCATATAAAATAAGGGTGAGTTCCTAAACTGAGAGCTGTGCTCATCGATGACACCCATTCCCGAATTTCTAAACTCAGCGTTGAGCTCATTGATGGGCATCAGAAATCCATCAGATCGTTCCCAAGCTCATCGATAGATCTATAAATATAACTGAATACTGGCTATCAATAACAGGTTTAATGCCAAACATTTTTATTTTAAGTTATTCAATTTTTTTTATTTGCCAAAAAACTTGATAAACAATCCTGAACTATTTTTTTAAAATTACAACCTATACTTTTACAATTTATATTAATATTGTATTATTTTTAAAAATTCCATTCAGTGTTCCATTTAGAAAATATTCAGTGTTTATGAATGAAAAGAAAACTTAAAATGTGTTATATGACATCATTAGTGAGTATAAAAGAGCTATGTGGCAATTAAAAAAATCCCAGGCTTTTTGATGTTATTAAAATGAGTTCATTATAAAGTTATTAAAATACAAATTATATAGAATTAAATTGATCAATTCTTAAAAAAATATATATAATCTTCTTTCAAATATGGCAAATATTTAATTTTATTTAAATGGTTTTCATAATAAAACGAAGTCTTTGATTATACTGTGTGGGTGAAACTTTTCTGGAGCTGCATACTTTCAATTCATTAATATTGTTCTCATCTATCGTACAGAGATTCATCACTAGTCGGACCTCAGATATTCCACTGTCGTATTTAGTCATTTATGTTGCTTTTACTTCTTTTTTGAAGTGAAAACTTCTTTAGGCGCAAGTTGCACTGTTGTTGTCGGTAGTGAATAAGGTTGAGCCGTCACGCTCGGATATGTAACGCTCATTCGGATAAAGTCGGTATTAGTCGACTAATTGAAGTATTTTTGCATTTGGATTAAAATATTACAGAAACTGAAAATCAGTCCTGTATACTGTAAGTGAGGAAAATATTCAGTGTTTCAATCTCTTTGTAATGAGCTATTCTTCAGAATTTTATCTTAACGCCACGCCATGCTAAAGAGGCAAAAAAAGGGGAGGGAATGATGTTTCATATTATTAATCTCACCTAATTGATGTTTTCACGTCTATTGTGTGGTCTAATGCACACTCCTTAGTTGTTTTTTAGTATAATGGTTTTCGTTGTTCTATCAACAGGTTTTACTAATATTTGTGACTGAGTTAAAAGCCCCCGGTACTAGGAGTTGAACTCGTAATCCACGGTTTATCAGGTTGCCGGGCACTGCGTATTATGTATACGCATTAGCCCATTCGACCGCCCTCAATCTCTTGGGTTTTTTTCTTTAAAGGCAAGGTACATTCTGCTGATTTTCAAATCCTGGCTGAAATACTCCTTTTGCTTTTTCTCCTCCCATATAAACACTTGTCCCTTGGAAAAGTTTTTTTAAGGGTTTCAGTTCTTCATTTGTTTATACCGAAAACATGCAATAAAAGCAGTATACCACAACCTATTAGATTATTATTATTTTTTCATTTGTCTATACTCCCTCCTATACTCATAAAATGGTTGGATGTCTCATGTCGGTTTTTTCCGGCAACTGAAGGTTACGAGTTTAAATCCCGGTGCCATAGGGACTTTTAACTTTGGTATTATTCCCCGCCCTCTACCCTTGCTCGAGAAAAAACCGTACAGCCGGAAAGGCGAGGGAGGGGAGGAAAAGACAAAAACATTCCTTATACAAGTATAGTCTTTCAAAATCTGTTTATATAATAATAAACTCTCGTTGCTTTTTTTAAATATGGATTTTACAAAAACATACTTTGCCCACGAACTTACTATAATTAGTATCAAACCTCTGTTTCAAGCAAAGTATTTCGATTTTTTCGATTAATGTAAGATAAGGCGTAACAAAAAAATATACTTTCTTCACTTTGTAATGTACCTAGTTTGTTTTAAAATTATATTCATGATTATACACTATTTAGAAATAAGTTTTGTGTAATATTATGCTCTTAGATCCTCTCTGGAGTAGAGTCAATGGTAAAGTCATTCACATATCAGTTCAAGTCAGAAATTTGTTGTTGTTGTCATATTTTGTTTATGTGATGATATGCATAGATAAAATATTTTCTTAAATTACTTTTGTAAGTAATTGCTGTTTTAATATGCAGTCTTTCATATTACTTCAAATGAATATATAAATCAGCTTGAGAACTATTTAAATACTCATTTTATAACTGTTTTAATTATTAATAAAGACTTACTGTTATCAAATATGAAAGTGACATATTTTGGTCTAATTACAATGAAAAATACTTTATTGAATATAATTTAGTAAAAATTTGATTTTTTAGGTTGTTTCTTAATATTTAAATATTTCGAAATCCAGTAAAGTAAATATATATTTCGAAAATAATGATACAAATGGATATATTTTTGTTATTTGTTTATTTATTTATTTATTTACTGCTACAAATGACTATCAAAATTTGTCCGCAAAACTTATTCTGGTCAATATACATTTTTAAAGAAATATGTGTATATTTCCAGATTTTTAAAAATTTTCTCCTAAACTGAATTCTACATTGTGTATTTTTAAAAACATTTTACTCTTCTATCTACCCACATTTTAAAAATTTGTCTTCCGGTGCTAATCCATATTGTCTTTTATATTATCATCTGAACAATATGTGCCGTGGGTCTTATGGCTTCTTATATACTTCACAATTGCTGCCATTTTTTCAATTCTCATATTTATTGGTGCACCAGTGATTAGTTTGCAGTCTTATAATCTGCGCTGTATTTTGTGTTTTGTCTGAAAAGATAGTCAAAAGCAAATATTGTTTTGTAAAATCGTAATCTCAAATATGACACAACAATCATTTTAATAGATTGATCAATATCACAGTTAATATTTAACTTAATTTAATTTAGTATCGCAGTAATAGATTTTTCTACCATACACAACTTTTTAATTAACAAAAAAATATGAAATAGAGGCTTTTTCATTATTACATTGAACTTTTTTGTGAGAGAAAATAGTGTTGATCTATTGCAAAAAAATCAAGTACATTTTCGATGGAGCTGAACTATTAAAAAACGTTTTTGTGAATTTTGGCCTTATTTATCAATATATAAACATGTGCAACAAAATGGTCAAACTCTTTTACATATCAAATAAGTTACAAGTAGCAGACAATTTTCTGAATTCATCAAAGTTCTTTGTGTTTAACGTTATGAAATGTCACTTAATGACTTCTTGCAATAAAAGGACGATATTGTTAATAGTAAAAATCAAATATTGTATAAAATAAATACATAGCTTGTAATAATAAGATTTTTTTTTGCTTTGCCAAGCAAGATTAGAACCATCTTAATTTTTAGTTTAGGAAATCAGTGTTGTATCTGTTTAACAACCATGCTTCTATTTTGTTGTGTTGAGAAGTAAATAAAAAATTCACAAATGTTTAATAATTTTTTATATTTATAAATGAAAAATGAAAAACCTTATGAAATTAAAAAAAAAAAAAAATTGTAATAGAACAAAAAAATAAAAGAAAAATACTTTAATTACATTATTTTATTTTATTAAGATTATTTCCTGTAAAATAATATTTATAAAGTGTTAAAATGGTTTATTTTAATGTCAAAATTATATTTTTAGCACATATACTTAAGTTAAATGGACTTCTTCACCAATTTCTGAAAATATCCAATGTTCATTTAATTGTTCCTTTCTTTCTTTGAGTTATATAAGTAATATTCTGATCTATTTTCAGATCGATAGATTGAATTTCTTTTTATCTTTCTCTTTTTCAGGTTTAACAGCTTTAAATGTTTTATGAGTCCTGTACTACTAAATTTTCTGGATTGAATAATGAGATTATATCGAAGATTAACTTCACAGTTATTGTAAATGAAAATTTTATAGTTTTGAGTAAAAATGTATATAAGATTTTACAGCATTTTTAAATTTTATATATATCAATTTGATTCATTATATACTGGTTTAATTTTATTTGACATTTACTTTCAAATTTTGTACAGATCTATATTTGACATTTTCTTATAGTTTTCAACAATTTTATAAATTCTTGCTAACATCTGCAAAGTTAACAAATCGATATGTTTTTATGACATTTTATTTAAATTTGTCAACAGAAACCAGGTTTTTTTTTTTTCTAGATTACCTCCTACCTCACCATTTGTGGCATATGGGGGGAGGAGAGGAGGGTTCTGTTTAGTGATTGTTACCAAACCTACTCTAACCAGTTTGTGGTCTGCCACAATATAAATTTGAAGCAGTGTTGCTAAACTCGAGAATGTTAAAGTTTACGCTTTAACACGCTTGGCCATCACGACCTATAGCTTACTTAAACATTTTCATAGAATTCCGGAACTTTTCCAGGTCATTTATGGAAAAAATTTAGGTTATCGAAATGGTACCATTTTCCTTCTAAGATAACTCCAAAGAAGTGTTTATTATTGAATTGAAACATCATATGTAAACTATTGAAATTATTTATCAAAGCCAAATAAACTTTTTTTGGCATAACACAATTTTTTTTAAACCAAAAATGACCTTTATTGTCCCTGAAACGGTTTCTTAATAAATATTTTTTTAAAATATGATTAGAAAAAATCAATGAACAAACAGTAAAATGTATGTTCGACTCATAATAGAAAACTCGCACTTGGGTCTTTTAGATTGTAAAAGTCTGTGACTTTTCCAGGTCTGGTTGACACTATGAATAATGCCTTCCACCAATTCATATATTCCATTTTATATTGAATATAAAAATGATGATTAATAAATAAAAATGAGATAATGATTATTATTGGAATACAATTTATTGTGGTATTGTTTATGTGTTCTGGAAGGAACTACAATCAATTTATTAATAATATCATTTAGTTTGGTTTAGGTTCAAATAACCTTGGAAATGTTATATGGTATACTTCATATAATAAAATTATGTTTCAGATATCAATGTAGTATTGAGCTGCTATGGGTGAGGAGATTGCTTCTATTCCATGTACGTTATTGTTATTATAACTACTAATTTAATTTAAGGCCTTGTAAATTTTTAAACAATTCATTTATTTAATTCTTATGATCAGCCATATTATACATACCAAGACAGACAGTAACAGTTGGGTGGATTCTCCAAATAATTCATAGAGAGAGTAGTGATTTACAATAACCTATTATTTGAGAGGTTGGCACTCCATGACTCACACAACTTTTTTAAACTTATGTAAAAAGTTCAAGATTATTACAAGTTTTTTTTACTAAATCCTCAATATTGCTATGTTATGAAATTATCTTTTGGTGAAGTGGTACATTAATGCTTCTGTTCATGGTGTATATATTTTATCAAATTTATTCATTTTTAATAACTTATTTAATTTCAACAAATTAAATTTTGATTAATATACAACTACAGTCAACCATATAATGCTGAACTATTGTTAGATCAACAAATTCTTAGTAAAACCTTCATAGGTTCTTAAAATCGTAAAATCTTATAGGTTCCATTAGCAGATTCAACACTTAGCAGTTTCCTTGGAGCTCGTAATCTTTTTATCTGTTTATTGTCACCTGTCTCTAAGAAAAATCGCATCATTGATTTAACAAAGGTGTTTTTTAATTATACATTCATTATTCACAAATTATATTTATGTTTTAATTCAAATTTGAGACTATTTATTACTTAGTTTATCTAAGTATCCTTGTACAATATTGGAGAGCCTGGTACAACCTATATGACCGGGATCTCTTTTCTTGTTAAATAAAAAAAATTAGGATTTTGATGAGGAGGAATATTTATGAATGATACAACCTTTATTATGTTAATTCCCTACTATTTTACTTTTAATTGATCTCCCTGAAGGGGTAATTATTTTTAGTTCATTAACATGCTAACTAATTTTGTCACATATAATTGCTTGGGGAATGGGGAGGGCGATCACTTAAATTGCTTTTAAACACTGAGGAAGTAAAGACGAGGCCGTGTGCTTAGTCAAGCACCTTGACTTCGCTCGTAGATAAGACACCCCGTTCCCGAGAGGGGATAGGGCAGGATGAGACCAGGGTCTCCCGTCTTATTTATACAAACAACTTATAATATAATACTAAATATTATAAACAATAAAAATTATGGTGGTAAATCCAACAATCGTACTACTACCTAAGTGTTGCTCCACTGAGATGGGTGGGCACAATATCTCAAGATCACATTGTAAATTGAATTTCAAGAATGGTTGAGTATTGATAATGTGTTTACTGGTATAAATTTCCTTTCTGTACATCAGGATTTACATCTTCCCCAAACTCCCAACTTATTTTTTAAAATTAAAATTACAGCACTGATTCGCTTTAATTATATCACTACTACCACTAGTAACTGAATGGAAGAAAGAATATGAAAGGAAAGAATGCAAAATGATATAAATAAAATCTAATTGCGACAAATGGCTCACAAGCCTCAGAAGTTCAAGGAGAGAAGTTATGCTTTGCCGACTAAGGATAGGACATTGCCAGTTTATACATGGCTACCTTCTAAAAGGACTCGAAGCACCCACATGTGAAAAATTTAATAACGTTCCACAATCAGTGAAACACTTACTAGAAGAATGTCCTCAATTTGAAAATTACAGACAAAAAAAACAGGCTAACATTAAGAGAAATCCTTCAGGATACTGACGAAAGAATCAATACTTTGTTTGAATTGTTAAAGTTAATAGATTATTATAAAAAAATATAAATCGTAGTAAAATGCCAATGACCCTTGAGGGTAGAGGCGCGGAAGAGAGAAAAAAAAATTATGTTTTCTACATCATATGTTTATGATTTGTTCTTAAGACCACCACACTGCAGATTATCAAGCTTTGTGTGATTGCTATAATGTAATAGATAGTAATACAACTATATCGCCATATAGCCGCCGACAGGAATATTGTTTTTTTTTATATTGTTAATTAACCATGTTCCATTCCAAATACAATAAGGAAGCTTTACACATTGAGCTTTGCAAAAATATATATTAAAACAATCGATGGGTATTCTAGACCTTTTTAATTTAATTTAATTCAATGCTTCATGTTTTGAATGTTCGTATCAGCCATGTTTAAGTTTCACAATATACTGTTAATTAATATTATTTTCATGTTCTTTATAGTTAATCAATTTCAGGTGTTCAAGAGGAGCTGATCTGGATCAAACAAGAAAAAGAGGACACATATGAGGCAGAGGAATGCTATGAAGGTAAACCAATAAACATTAAAAATGTCATACTTTTCATGTATTTAATTTGGAAAGAACTTAAATATTCAAGGTATCAATTGGAATAGGTGTCGTGAGAGGTGAGCCTCCATTCGCCTTTAATCTACTTCAATCTATTTTTATAGAAACATATTCTTTATATGGACAAAAACTTTTGGTTTTATATGTAATTCTGATTCTTGACCAATGATTATACTAACAGACAATGTGATGATGTGAATATGTAAGGCACCAACTTTTTATTTAGCCATTAACAGGATACCAATTTTAGGAGCTGGATTTATCAAGGAGGTCCTCTTAATTCCATAGTCAATCACTATCTAATTGTACAGAAAATAAATTATTGTTATTGGTTCAAACATATGTTCAGAGTTTGAAATCCAATGGCTTGCTTTATATTTTTTTGTTACATAGTTTGTTAAAATGTATAATCATATAATTTAAGAACTAATGAATTAATTAAAATAAAAACAATAATGGCTTTTGAATATTTTTTCTTAATACCAGTACATATGATTCGCAAAGCTTCCACAGAAAAAAATATATCTAGCTAAATAATGAATGGTCCTGAATAAAATATATTCACAGTTTTGTAATTTTCAATGAATGAGTTTGATTGAAGTTATTTTAGTTGAAGTTATTTATCTTCAAAGAATACATTTTAGAGTTTTTTTCGCAACTTCATTGCAGCTCTTGATGAAAGTTGGGCAGAGCATGGCGATCCTCTGGACATAGGAGATGGAACTAATGAGGATAATGAAGGTATGATAAACATTTGTTTTTTAAATTAGGTATTCAGTAAGATATTAGTTATTTGAAATGTTGGTTTATGAGCACAGATGAGGAAGGCAAGGTAATTCTCACCACAAGAAAGAAAAACTAAATTTTTCTTTTGCTCAATCTGCAGGCGTTCCACAAGGTAGTATCCTCAGTCCCATCCTCTACACAGTTTATACAGCTGACATCCCAACCCATCCTGACACTGTCATCACCACTTATGCCGATGACACATGTTTGCTATCTGTTAATAATGACCCTTTAATTGCATCCCAAACTCTTCAATCACATATCACAAGCCTTGAAGAATGGTGTAAAAATTGGATAATAAAAATAAATTCCAACAAATCCTATCAAATCACCTTTACCCTCCGTCGTAAACCTATGACTTCTTGTCCTACTGTATCCTTCAATAATACTCCACTTATTCCTGTTGAGCAAATCCGCTACTTAGGACTCCACTTGGATAAACGTCTTACTTGGAATCCTCATACTAGACTGAAACGACAAGAAACTGCTCGACGTTTCCGACTGCTCCAACACTTACTAGACAAACGCTCTAAACTTTCAATTAATTTCAAAAGACTTATCTACATAACTATAATAAGACCTATATGGACATACGGAGTTGAGCTTTGGGGCTCCACCAAACCATCGAATTCCTATCGTATCCAATCCTTACAACCAAAATCCTCTGTAAAATTCTTAATGCTCCATACTTTGTCACAAATAAAACCATTCATAAAGACCTTAATGTACCATATGTCGCTGATTTAGCTCGAGCCAGATATTTATCCTTTCATGATAAACTTCAGTCCCATCCAAATCCGCTTGTTTCCATTCTTGCTTCTTCCTCGATCTCTGATAATCCTCCTAGGCATCTGAAAAGGAGATTGCCTCGTGATCTTCTTACTTAGAATTATTTAGGGAGTGCTACCACTGGGTAGTATCTTTTCAAGCCTGTACATGTCATTATTGATGATTTGCTCATATTTACTAGTTGTATTTGTATACAGTTGTAAATTTCATTAAATAATAAAAAAAAAAAAAATTTTTCTTTTAAAAATTGAAGAAACATTTAAAGACTCGGGTTTTGATTAGTTTTTTGTCATTCAGATAAATCAAGTTTTTTTTCAAGTTCTAAAGGAAATATCAAGTTTAAAATTAGGAATCCTATTTATTTAATTCTATACTATTATTCATTTATCAATATATATTACAGGACAGGTCAAGTAATACAACAAACTATTTTTTACTGTTACCCACACATATATAGCCGATCTAGGAGGAAAAAATTCATTGAATATAATTTTTTATTGGAAATCAGGTATTCGTCACAAATAAAACTTTAATGGTCTTAATTAATTTAATATAAATATAATTTGGGAAAAACATTGAAATTTAAAATTATAATTCCTAAGTATTAAGAAATAAAAATTAAAAATAACATTAATAAAAAGAAAACTCGTATGGACATATTCAAATTAATTTAATCTATTTCCTTAATGTTATTATAAACTTCATGAGAAAGCTCAATCTCATATTGAACTCCCTGATAATCACTTCTTAACTGCAATTTAAAGTTAACTTTTATTTCCATGGTTTTTTTTTCTTCTTGTATACCCATTCTGTAAATAATCACGTATTCACAGAATGCATATACTCCCCTTACTGCAACTTGAAAACCCCTTAAAAGTATGCTCTCTCCAAAATTTTGATGGTACAACTTGCGCTGTGAAGCTCCTTTTTGTGTACCCCTGCTGCTCTATATCCAATACTTTTTCTTCATTAGTTTTTTAAAACGTGCAGGAAAACATTATTCAGTTCCTCTATTTCCTAGAAATCTGACCGGTGACTGTCACCTAGAAATGTAGAAAATTTGTTTCTACCATGACATTTTTATCAAAAAAGAGAAGTTAACGAAAAAAATCTTTTCTTAGTATTTTTATAATGGTCATTAATTTTGTATATAAATTGGGCCACATTGTTCTTTAAAAACTTATAAATATTACCATATAACTCCCTATTTTTCTTATGATTAAAAATATTAGTGCCAAGAAATTTGGTTTACTTACGTTTTCTGAAACAATTTAAAAAACCGTGCTTAGCGCAAATCTCGGTAAAATTTGTTAATTATTTCTTAAAATAATATAAAAACTGTTATAAACTAAAAATAAAATGGTCACAGTGGGATACCGGGAAGGGTATTTTATAGATTGTATAAATGTTGTTTAGGTGTTTCAAAATTTTGATCTTAGCTAGTTTTTAGATGCTTTTGTAACATTAAACTGGTTATAGCTAAATTAATCCAGGCAGAAAACCTGGCCGTTGAGAGTGATCTTGGTCAAATCACCCCTTTGCTCAACCCATTGACCAAGAAACAGTAGATCCTTATGTAGTGCTAAACTCAAAATCCTTCTTCGGTTGTAGTGGTATAGGTTATTTTTTTTTTTTAAGTTAAAGATTATTTACTCAATCTAATTAATTTATTATTATATCTGTGTCAATTTTTTAATTATAGATCTAAAATGATGATTAAAATAATAATGTTGTTGATTATATTAATAAAAACTATTCATTCATTTTAGGGTACTGATTGAATATCAGAATAAATTTATAAGATAAATAATTTTAGTTGTTGATTTTTTAACGGTAAATATTTTTAAAATATGTATTTGTCAAAATGAGTAAAAAATAAATTCAGTCACTAGTCTGATTTCATGTAAACTAAACTCATACCTTTTTTTAATTTAAAGGCATCAACCATTTGAGCCATTATTATCTTAATTTAATAATGATAAATACTTTTTTTTTATTAAAATGCATTGATAAGATTGTTGTTAGTTTTTCCTGTATATTTCCTGTTGTTTTTTTAGATAACGGAGAACAGTTGTGGATCAAGCAAGAGGCAATCGATGTTTTAGAAGCAGAAATTTTAGAAGGTAAAGTTATCAGCCAGTAATTTTAAAAAATACCATAGAGTAATAAAATTTATGATTAGAAATAAAAACAATGAAATTTCTGTTTTGCAATTCGTAAAGGAATATTATTCATAAATAAAATTATCATTATTAATACGATTTTCTGATAAAATTTTTTCATTTCATGCAGAACACCCTAGTGTTGCTGCAGCAACGATTTTTAATTTTATGTAAGGTCAAAACTCAATTTGGAGAATGAGCATTCTAAAATTTAATAATTCTATATTTATTAATTACAGAATTAAAACAATTCAAATTTAAGATATCTGGGAAAAAATATATTTTCTTTGTATATTTTGCACGAAAAATGGAGGCTGTCAGTTGGGGTAGTTTTGTCCCATATTTCGTATTTTTTTTTACCATAAAAATAAATTATAAAAGGCTACTAAGCTGAGTCCAGCAAGCATTTCATCTGTAATCCTTTTACTAGTCTTACCAAATCGTTCACTGCCTTGTGTTAATATAAAGTACTGTATAATGGTTTGTCATTCAAAATAATTTTTACCTTCAAATTAATTTTTTTATCTGAGTTGCTGCTTCTTAACTGAAGCAGCTACTCAATCGAACAAATTAGGTAATGAACTGCTATACTAAAGAAACAATCACATTGAATATGTTGTATTATCAGGCAATAAATATAAATTTTGGTTTATCATAAACATTACAGTGTATTATGTTATAATTAAAGTTGTTTTAACTTTTTATTTTTGTTATAGGCTCTATTGATGGGAACTATACATGCTTTCACTGTGGAAGAAATTATTGTAGTATTTCTATCTTAAGAGACCATATTGAAGCATTACATATACCAAGATTAAATAACAGAAAAGCCCTCTGTTATGAAAAAAGCATTATTTGCAATGAAAACCAAGGTGCTATTACAATATCGAGTCTTCATAAAATAGCTGTATATGATGACAAAAAGGATGGGAAAAAGACATACCAGTGTCCATACTGTAATAAATTATGTTCACAAATCGGTAACTTAAAAATTCATATTTTAGCTGTACATACAAAAGATAAACCGTACTCATGCCCGCACTGTGAGTACCGATCAAGTTCAGTCCACCCGTTAAGGCACCATATTTCTGTGAAGCATAGGGAAAAGAATTACTTTCATTGTTCTTACTGTAGTTATAGTATCGGTACCAACAGAGAGTTAAAGATACATGTGAAAACTACTCATAAAACTAATAAATATTTTCCTTGTAAATATTGTGGAAAGGCATTTGGTACTGCTGGTCATTTAAAACAACATATCAGTGCGATACACAGTGGAAAGTCATATCAATGTTCACATTGTGACTATAAGACGGGTAGGCCTACGACACTGCAATGGCACATAATGTCAAAACATACAAATGAAAAACCTTACAAATGTCGTTTCTGTTCTTATGGAACTGTGCTAAATTCTAGACTGAAAGTTCACGTTCAGAATAAGCATTCGAATAAGAGACCGTTTCATTGTACACATTGTGAATTCAAGACGAACGACTCCTACACACTGAAACGACACATTCAAGGTCAACACGAATTCTATAAACCTTATGTGTGTACTTATTGTGATTACAGTTCGACTCACTCAAGTACTTTGAAATCACATATAATGGCTAGACATACTAACGAAAAACCTAACCAATGCCCTCATTGCGAATTTAGAAGTGTTGAAGCTGGTGCTTTGCGGCGTCATATTATGGCCAAGCATACTAAAGAAAAACCTTATAAATGTCAGTATTGTGATTATAAGTCAAGCCAATCTGTTCACTTAAAACATCATATAGTTGCGAGGCACACTGATAAAAAACCTTATCAATGTCCGCAATGTGAATTTAATTCCAGCTGGCCAGGTCCATTAAAACATCATATAAAGTCAAAGCATACTGATGAACAGTCTTACCAGTGCCCTTTTTGTGAAGTTAGAGTCAGCCAACCTGGCAATTTAAAACGTCATATTAAATCAAAACATAATGAACAGATGACTAATGATTAATTAATGAAAGACTGATAAGATATAGTATTCTGAATATTCAATGTCAAGGTTGTTGATATATAAAATTGATGCTCTTTCACAAAGTTCATCTTACAGTATAGCATGCCACTTGCTCAGTTTGATAGCCATTTGTCACATTTGGTTTATCAAATTTTCTTCTTAGCTTCATATGGCATTTTTGAACATGAACTGGGATCTGTGCATCGGTATCATTTGATGAAGCATTTAGCTTTGACAGGGTGTTCAGCAGCCGTAAATTGCTTTTATGATTGGGAATTCTGTTTGAAAAACAGCCACCCGTCAGGAATTTCGTTTTCAATCCAGTAATTTAATTAAAATTTAACAGCAATAGATGTTATTTTCCTTATCGACTCTTAAGATGCGCAGAGCCAATATAATGGCTCGGGCCGGGCCGTGACGCCAGTGTGCAATGCCATTATAGTGGTTCTGAAAGATCATGCCCCTGGTGGGCAGAGTCAATATATTGGCTTCAGCTGTTTATCGTTTAGTTGAGCAAAACTAACATTCCTGCTCATCACACAGCTCTCCAATGGGTACTCCATGAGTCATAGGTTGTTGCTGGTATAACTAGCAAGTGTGAGAAGTATTATGTAGTCGCGGATATCCTTTAGGTTGAGGGCTCTGACCTCAACCCTTCATATATCTGCTTCCACCCCTTTTTCACCTTATCTAGCCTTTTGAACACAGTTTAGCTCAAAGCTAATAGCAGTTGGAAGTGTTTTGAAGTGCGAAAGTTTAAAATGAGTTTTAAATTATTTTTTTTATAGATGCTACCATTGGGTAGTTTTCCAACAAGTGTTTTCACGTCATTATATCCATTCATACAAATTTACTAGATGTATTTCTTTAATACAGTTGTAAATATCATTAAGGAAAAAAAAAGTTTTTTAAAATCTTAATTTTTTTTTCCGAAAGTATAAATTTTTCTTTTTTTAGGGTAATAAAATTTACCCTACAATGAAACGTTTTTTAAATTTTTCCATATCAGAAATCGGTTAATAATAAATAAAAAAAAAAATTAAATGAAGAATAAAATAATGACACTGTATGTACCAAAAAATTATTAGAATATATCAAAATATAATGTAAATGTAAAAGTAATTTAAGACTGTTAATAAATTATAAAATTAAAAGAAAGACTAAAATAATAAAAAAAAATTATCTTTTTATTGAAATATGAGCTAACATCATATTAAAGAAAATGTATAAGTCAGTTAACAAAAGAAAGCATATTTTAATGTGAAAATTGCAAAAAGACCGGAGCAATTCAGTGAAGAAATTCAGTGCACACGGCGTTGGCTAGACCTTCAGTACCCTGCACACGGGACCTGATATTGATTCAGGCTCTGCGCAACTAAAGGGTTAATAAAATACTGAAATGAAAAATGATAATTTGCATAATGAAGCATTGCTGGACAACCTATTCGCAATTGGTATTTTTCTACCTAGACCTTAATTAGAAGAACATTCAGATCTTCTCTAATTACTTGATTCCACATACAATCTCTTTCACTCATAACCTGACTATTGTATCTCTCAGTTCCTTTTTAGGCAAGAGACCTTTTATGCCACACACAGACCTGGAAAGGATGTAGACTCCTTAAGATCCAGCTGTAGATTTCCCGAAACTGCGCAACAATGTATCGTAACTTGCTGTTTATTTGAAGTAATAAAGGAGACTACTGGCTGCTACTACGTTAATGAAGAAAATTTCCCTCTTTTTTGCCATGAAAGAGTACCACCTGTATTATGAAATCTTCTTGGATCTAGACAGGAGTAGTGGCGGATCTGTACACTGGAGCAGGGAGCAATTATCAGATCCGGTTGGCGTATACCATCAATACTCGGCCTCCTCTCTCCCTTCTCAGTTTTCTGTAAGCTCTAAATATCTTGTATTCTCTACTTTAATTTTACTTTTAACGCACCATTTTCTTCTTTTTTTTTAACTAATTTTTTTTATCATTTTTCAACTATTGCTCTAATTTTTTTCTTTTATTATTATTACGATGGAAGATTCAAAATTTTACTGCCAAAACAGTAATAAATTATTCGTAAAAAAAGTAATCAAATTATAAATAAAGTTGTTTTTATTACATCATTTATGATATACATTTCGAGGTCCTACCTCATCCTCAGGACCATCGAAATTATTCCTTTAAATGTTGTTCATAAATAAAATAATAAAAATGTGGTGCGGTCATCGCACAACTTCCACTTACCGCTGAATGAAGAGTAATTCCTGTCGGGAAAAATTGGACTAACACGAAAAGTTTTTGAAGTGTATTTGAAAGGGCAATTGAACCTAAAAGAACACATTTGTGATTTCAATCAAATTTATCAATGCAAAAACTCAATAAGGCCATCAAAATAACACAAACTATCGATTCTAAGCAATCTAAACTTCATATTTCAATCACATAACTGTGAGGGGAGAATGAGCATTTGCGGTATTAGCCAACCAGAAACTATAATTGCTCCTCAAAAATATTTTACTCCCTACTCTCTTGTTCTCTGTACCAAGTGCAATTTTTGAACCTTTTTTTAACATGAAGGCTGGCCTTAATTTCCCGTATGTACCATTCTATTGTTTACATTCACTGATTCTATCAGCCAATTATTATCTACTATTAATTTTTTGACATTATTGAAGCTCCCTGATCTTGAATTTGTCAAGCATTATTGTCTCTTATTTTTACCATTAATGATGAATTTGATTTTCTTGATGTTTTTTGTCAAACCTGATCACAAAAATTTATAAGTCAGTATGTTATAAGTGTCAAAAATTTTATTTAATTAAACCAGTTACCAGCAATATTAACTTAATGTATATTTTCAAATTTAACAAAGTTAAATGAGTTCAAGTATTATTACTGAACTTAGCTCTCTAAACTTTTAATATTTTTCTTTGGGAAAGGAATTAAAAAATTAACATTGGACTGAATTAATAGAATACAGAGATATTTTTGATCAGAAAGGTAGCTTCGGTGCGAAATATTCTGTTCATTGGTCTTGATTTAACAATTCCTCAATTTTGTAAAATATGCATGTATATATGAATTTATGCTTCAAAGTATGTTTTTTTGTTAATTTTGTATTCACTATTACCCTGTGATATTTATTTCATTGTAATTATTCTATTGTAAAATTTTACAAATATTATATTCACTGTAAATATATCCAACTAAATTTTGATTTCTCAAGTTAATAAAGAAATTATTTATTTCTTGTTATTCTTCTTACAATAACATTTTGTGTGTTTATTGCAAAAAATCTTCAGTTTATTTCTTAAATCTCTAAGGGTTCTGAATCAAACCTTTTTTTTCTCTCCACAACAGTTGAATCTGGAATGGAGTACCCTTAAGTTTCATAAAATAACTGAGTAGCTACTTTACTAAAGGAGCAGAAGACTACTAAACAAATGTAATTTAAATTTAGTAAAGGACAAAGTCTGAAAATTGCACTTACCGAATTCGTGTACAATGGACCATATTATTGGTCTGGTACATACAAATAATGTAATATGTAATTTGTCTTTCAGTATATTACTTGATATAGATTTTATTTTATTTATTTGGTTTGTTTTTGTTCAGGAATTAGCTTATTACTTATTAAGTTAAACAAAGAAATTAACACATCTTATTTCATCAAATCCTAACCAGATCAGCAACTAGTATTATTATTACCAATATACAGTATTTTTTTTATTAAGTACTGAATTCAAAACCAATTTATTTATTTTTAAAATACACTCATTAACAACTTCTAATCTCGGATACGATTTCATGTTATGTTACTATGTTTATCAATTTATTTACTTTTTTCCTTCATAAGGGTGCATGTTTGGGGAATGGACTATTTATGTTTCAGTACTCACTAGCGTATATCCAGAGGAGGGACGCGACCTCCCCCCATGGAAGGTGAGAGTAAATTAAATCTTGAAAAACTGGTAACTAAATTTCAGGCTCTTTTGATATTACTAATTAAATTGAAAAAATAAATGGTATTACACAATTAATTTTAATTTATACTTCTTACTCATATTATAAGCCAAACAGGCTAAGGCACTTAAAAATGGTAGAGTAGAGTTCATCATGGAAGGTACTAGGATGGTAAACTGACCGACCCCGTAATAACTATATTGACAGTTACCATATTATCTGTACAGTACTTTAACCTTCCAGTGTACCCACAGAATGTACCAGCCACAGTTTTCAGGCTATCAAATCTCTCAAAGTGTTTGGATGTCGTGGTAATCACAGCTATTCATTTACTAACCCTTGTTTTCCTTTTTTTATCTGCAAATCATCCTTACGACCCTCAGTACTTCTTCAAATTGCTTTGAAAACTGTTGTGGCATAATGCATGTGCAGAACACCCACTCGTATTTTACTTTAGTATTCCTATTTATAGATGTGGTTGAATTAATGTATAAAACATATATATATACATACAAGTATAAAACATATACTTGCAACCATTTCTATACCATCTAACACCAGAATTAAATTACACCATAACCATCTTTTGCCCATGTAATGTTATTACATATTTATATTTAACTGTTTCCGCTTTTTAGTGGAGTATAGATGTTCTGTCTTGGAACATTTTGGGAAGAGATACACAGTTTTAAATATATACATTTATAAATAAAATACGCTTTTAAAACATTAGTAGTCAGACAAACATCGGTATAAATACTCTAAAATTTGGAAAATTTAGCATTGATTCCTACACTGCCTATGTTAGAACAATTTAATACTTTGCAAATCACTTCAATGCTTTTAAAAGGGCACTAACTTAACATTTTTCCAGAGAGAAACGTCAGTCCAACACATGGCATAGTGTTCTTAAACTTTGAGTATTATTATAGATGTTCTGTCTTGGAACATTTTGGGAAGAGATACACAGTTTTAAATATATACATTTATAAATAAAATACGCTTTTAAAACATTAGTAGTCAGACAAACATCGGTATAAATACTCTAAAATTTGGAAAATTTAGCATCGATTCCTACACTGCCTATGTTAGAACAATTTAATACTTTGCAAATCACTTCAATGCTTTTAAAAGGGCACTAACTTAACATTTTTCCAGAGAGAAACGTCAGTCCAACACATGGCATAGTATTCTTAAACTTTGGGCATATAAATAGTACCAATTTAGGTTTATATAAGTATTAAGTCTTAATAAACAATATATTTAATAATATTAACATATTTACATAGTATTATATTGACATGTCAAACTTACAAATAATACACTCTTTCAGAAAGCAAGTTTCTTCATTAACAAATACAAGTCTTGATCAACTTCAAACCCATGCAGATTATTTGGATCACCCTGAAGCCTCATCAGTAACCCTCCAAAAGATACATAAGCAGAGAGTTTGGATTTTGAATGTTCCCTTATATTATCTTCACCTTCTATCCTATATAATTTTCCATACATTACATATTCAAAACTGTTAGCTCGGGATGCATCATTTTCAATAGGGGCCCATTCTTGAGTGTCTGAATAACCATCTTCATAAAGAGTTGTTGTTATAACTAAACGAAATTTGTCTCCCAGTTCCATAGGATACAACCAAGTGTTAACATCCAAAATTAAATCCATTTTAAACGACTCACTTTCACAATGTAGTCGACTAACTCGATCGAACATTTTACCATTAGGATCAATATCTTTCACATTAAATATATCTTCAAACAAAACTCCAGCCATCGCACATACAATGTGTCCACACTAACAACAACAACCAATACCTCAACAAAGACTGCTGACCATGGCGGTACATACCAATATCGATATATATAAAATTACAAAGAGGCCTGAAATTTGCATTCTTGAAAAGAAATTTAAATAATAGTAATAATAATAAAAACCTGCTGTGCACATCACACAACTTTAATCTACAACTCTGCTTTAAACATAAACTATTTTATGGCAGGGTAACAATTTTGGATGTTGAATAACCAAAAAAAATATATATATACATTATATATTTTTAATGATGTAGAGATGGTTGACCGTTGATATAATATGAGAAGGAGTTAGTCGAGGGTGCGGTCAAATAAATAAAAAAATTAAAATATATAAATGTAATGTAAATGTTAATCGCTAATGTAAATTAAAATAATTTATATATTTTAATTTTTTTTATTTATTTGACCGCACCCTCGACTAACTCCTTCTCATATTATATATTTTTGTTTTCTCTATGAAGTAACACCACATAAGGATCATTTATTAAAAGCATACTACACGGATTAAAATTGTTTACATGATTTTCTTTTTTAGTTTTTCATGATATAAATTTTCAGTACAAAATTATATATATTAACAAATAAAAATAGAAAAAAAAAAACAAATAAATTAAAGACAAAAGTCAATTCAACAAAGCCAACAAGAAATCACCTACCCTTCCCATCACTGTTAAGTCGTAGTCGATAGACCTAATAAATTAAAGAAAGTCTCTCTTAAATTCAGTAAATAACTTTTATTCCGTCTCAGTCCAACTTCCATTTTTGATAACAACACATTTTATTAAATCAAATCGCTATCTGTCAAATCGTTTACAGTAAAATATTAAATGTTTAAAATTTTGAACCTGTCCGCCTTCATCGCATGAGTGGTTGTATAATGTTGAATCATTTAAGATTTTTTTTGCATTCCCATGTTCCATAAGTACTTGCATAAGTTTGTAGTCAATGCTGTGAATGCGTCTGTAATTGTGAAGTTTAATGTGTGGCATAAATCTGTGTAAGCTTGGTGTCTTGGCTAATGTCACACATATTTGATCCCATTTTTTGATGAAATCCAACTTTAAATTCATCTTAATGTAGGATAAAGGAGCTTGATGATACCAAGGCGGCAAATCCCTTTTAGCTAATTCTTTTGCAAGGTAATCGGCTCGTTCATTACCCTCAATCCTACTATGAGCTTTTACTCATTGTAGAGTCACTACTTTCCCTACAGTTTTCAGTATTAATAATTGGTTTATAATTTGGCCAGTCAAGTAATCATAAATATCTGAATTATTAACAGATTCTAGTAGAACTTTGTTTTCTATATTTATAGTAACATGCATGTTCGTTTGTAGAAGGTGGTTATATATGTATTTAGTCACCTTTAAACAGCGAATTTTCTGCCTGGTTATTAGAGAAATAAGATTCTATTTTATATTGATGTTCTACATTTGTACCATCTTGAGCACTACATAACTATACACATCCAATATTCTCGCTATTTTACTACCGTCAGTTAAAACATCTGTATTTTCAGAGCTAATTTTTGGTCCAATCCATAAACTTGTTGCGAGGTGTAGCCAAAATTTACAGTCAGTGATTCTTTCTAGTTTGTCCAAGGTCAGATATTTGTACTTTTCTTTCCTTTTTTAATGTTAAATAAGATAGTCCGTTCTTCAATTTTTATTTGGATTAGGAACAGTCCTGCCAATAATATTACGGTCTCAAACGAAAGTGTACGATAGCCCTTACATATCTTAATCGCAATTAAATTCTGAAGCCTTTACAGCTGGATGCCAGACATACACAGCGCAGAGCATCTTACGAAGTACAGCAGCTTCATAAATTTCAACTTCCGTAGAAATCCAGCAACCTTCTGTAGAAATCCAGCAGGTCGTTCCAAAACAAAGCATAAATCGCTGTACGTCGTTGCTTAATTAAATCATTGGAGGATTCCTTCGATGAAATGAGCGCTGAGTCTTGGCACTTGCTCTTTTTTAGGTGACTTGTGTTTTTAGTTTCATATTTAATATAGTAATTATAATATGACTAATATAAAAAATATCTGCCCGTTAAACTCGAAGGAAGGTTTATTATTATTCCATTTTCGGTTTCTATCTATTTTATATTTAATATCTAAAATCTTAAAGATTCAATATTGAAACTGAATACTCAAAATAAATGAGAATCATATAATATCAAATTAATTCGAAAATTACTATTAATTTTTAAAAACTTATTTCTTTTACTTACTCAGTACTCAGATTCAATATCAGTATAGCTATATTAAAGGATGGGAAACGTACACAACCTCTTTTGATCTTTTCTGAGCAAGTTTCGAGTAATAGATTCTCTTTGGTATATCTTGCTTGAATTCATTAAGGAACCAATAATGTTTAATGGCTACTAAACATTTTAAAGTAAAGGTGGCTTTGATTTAATATAAAATAATTAAATCAAATAAAACTATGTCTTTGTTGAATAGTTTCCGTAATCATAATAACTTCAGAAATATTTTGGCCACTGCTAGTTCCTTGTTTTTTAAAAGAAATATTTTTCTCTCACAATCTCTATATCTGAAAGAAGGTAGATATTTTATTATTTATCAACATATGGAATAGTAATTGTATAAGTTTATCTTCTTTAATCTGTCTATTTGTTAATTAGTAAAAGAAGTCAAGATAAATAATCAGCTTATCATTGAGGCGAATATTATTCCTGCGCCAGAGGAGGATCGATTATTAAAAACAGCTTTGAACACTGAATGCTGTGCTGTTTGTAGTCTTGGTGTTGATATTAAGCATACAGTAAGTTTTTTAGCTTTCTGTCTTGGATGGTAATTTATGAACAATATTGCCTTAAGTTTTACATTTTTCAGAGCTGCATTTATTTATATTCTTGGTTTATTTAAACATAAAATAAGTGATCTGTATTATCTCATATTATTACTTAGTTTGCTGGTGTATTGAGAGTTGGTGATATCACATATTTAAATCTATTTTTGGAGTTCTATTTGTTTATTTATGGTGTAAGTCATTTCTTGATGTTTCTAGCTACTTTGTTGAATGGAGTTTAAGGATTTTATTGATATTAAAACATTAATTTGAACTCCTGTGTTTAATATTTGTATAGTAGTCTTAATATTCTATCATTTTCGTTTCCTGATTAATTTTTTAAATTGTAAAAAATTTTATATAGGATGTACCTCTGCTAGCTCAGTTTGTTCGTTCCGATGGATGTATGTTACCTCGTAGAATAACTGGCCTTTGTAAAATACAACACAAAAGAATTACATACATGGTGGCAATGGCCCAAAAAGCTGGTGAGAATTCAATTATGCATATCTTTTTTAATTCATTTTGTGAATTTCTGGTGCATCCACTGGCACAATATTTATTACTATATTTAATGCAAAATATATTTTACATAATTGTTTAGCTGTATCTCTGCCAATATTAGACCAAATTAATATTATTAATTTTTTATGACGTTTAACTTTCATTATTTTAAAAATCAATGACTGGAAATTCCAAAAATATGTATAGTTTTCCTGCTGGTCAAAATACTAAGAAAGATAAATAGGTTTCTTGAGAACATAGTTGGTTTATTGCCAAAAGTCAATAAGTTCATTTTTGATATAGGTTAACTTTTGAATTTTTTATTTATTTATCAATAGAAAAACATTGTAAGTGCAAAAAAATGACACAAAGCCTTTGACACAAACCGACGATATACTGAAAAATTTTTAAATATTGGTTTGGTTCCAATATTTATGCTGCACCTTTTTAGTTTTTTCTTACCTATTTATGAAATATCTTATAAGAGAAAGTATTGTGATTGTATGTGTGAGAGAAACTTAAATTTAAAGAATTGAATTAAAATTGCTATTAGATTGTGTTCCTGAATATTAGGTATAAAATGAGAACATATTTCCTTTTTTTATTTTGATGAATAACATCATTAAAAAATTAATAGTTTTGAGTAACCATTGCATCTTAATTATATTAATAAATTCTCTTTACAGGTTTGATGTCCATACTGACTCCACCCGATTCTAAAAAGGATCCCAAAAGGCGACCTAAGTGGAAAAAGTTTAATACATATTTTGATGAATCCACTATACAGCTTCCTAAAGAATACAAAATTAAAATAAAAGATTTTTAAAAATTAAGTTTATTTCAAGTGTATAAAATGGCTGAGTCTATGTTTTCTATAGACTTTATTTTTATTGTTTAATATAATAATAAAAGTTATTAAAAAAATTTTATGACTTCGTTAATTTGTTTGACGGGAGGGTGTTTCGTGAAGTAATAGTTGCAATGTTTTACAATTATACTTGTAATTAGTTGTATCGTTAGCATTTAAATTCATAACTTATGACCTAAAAATGTAAGAATAAATTTTTGCTTTCTTTTACTTCCCAACCAGACCATTTATGTTATATGGGGTTATTCTCACAATATTAACCATAGTGAATAGGTCACAATTCATTCCCTGAGTAGAGCACCCAATGAATTTTAACCTGCCAAAGCATAATTTATCTTCTGACAAATATCGGCTAGACTCAAGGTTACTAACATTATGCCTTACCACTCTCAGCCATCATGGCCTCAGAACAAATTGGTTTTGAAATAGTGTTCACCACTAACTATATATCCAGTTTCCTTCATGAAGTAGTTGACAGTAAACTCTGCTTCCCAAATAGAATTAAGTTAAACTTAAAACCCATTTCCTACATTTTTAGAATTTATATGTTGTATAAAATTAAATGACCGACTGAGAATTTGGATGAAAACTGTCTCACATCATTTATTTAGGACAAAATATTATGTCTTAAATAGTTAATGGTTCACAAAATTTCTAGTTCCTCAAATTTTGCTTAGATTAAAACAAGAAGTTTGTTGGTTAACTACCTTAGCTTCTTTGAATAAACGATTTTATTTTATTGTGGAACATATAATTTAAAAAATAAAATTTTCAGCTCAAAAATGTATCACAAATTGAGTTGGTAGTATTTATCTGCTGTCCTGTCAAGTGATACAACTGTTTTAATTATATTAGAATTTTCCAGCTGATTTTGGTTTGTCTCAGTTCTTAATCTTTGTTTTATTCATTATTATGAATATTTCAACTGTGTTAGGTTGTGTTCTGTAATTTAACCTGCCTATTTGGAACACATTTGGTGTTTCCAGTAATTTAGATCTCTGGAAGACACTTTTTACAGTGTCAATTTAGATAAAAAGAAAAAAAAATCTATGGGATGTCATAGCCAATGGGTCACCGATTTTACCCATCTTTTCGTTCGTGATTCTTCATCAAAAAATGTTCGAAATTATGCCAGGCATTTGTTCCCATTGGTTTTCAGAATCTGGAAAAAATTATATAAGTTCACAAATGTCATGTTGTTTGGCTTTGCTTCGCTCGGTTATCTAGATTAATATATATTATTTAATGGTATGGAATGAGTTCACATGTATCACAAAGGTACATACATCTTTTTCAAAATAATTATTAATTTTTTCAGTCTTTTTTTCTTCAAATACAAATTTTCTGTTAATAATAGTTCCCTTCACTAACAATTAGTCAATATGACTAGTGCAATAAAAACAATGGTTATCTTCCATATTAAATTAATGATTATGTTTTGTAAAATCCGTATTTAGTCTTATTAATGGAAAAATATGTTAAACACTTGGTGATGTCTCATCCTTGGCTGATTGGTTCTTTGAGCTATAGTAGTTAAAACATTGTATACCAACTAGAAACTGAACAGAAAACTTTTGTAGGACATCAATAGATAATATATTCGAGAAACAGTATAATTTAGGTGAAAAAAAAAATACTGGCTTTATTACATCCAAGTGAAAAGACTTCAGTTACCACTACCGTGAAGTAATTAAGGTGAAAAAAAAGAAAGATATTATAAAAACAATACTAGAGTCATCAATCCGTATGTCTCCAGCCTTGAAAATCGTGCTTTTTTTACATTAGAACCTTTTATATAAGTATTACTTTTTGAACAAATATTAAGTTTCTAATAGTTCACCAGAATGATATACTAAATGAAAATGTTATTATAGTGTTATTTAAGTTACCCATGTCTACATTTACAGATTTTGCATCTTATTTTTGATAGCTCAATGCTAGTAGACATGATAAAGAAACAAAGGAATTGAATGATCTAATTTAAGGAGAAGTCGATTAGGGTGCGGTCAGGAACCACAAACACACACGTTTGAGAAATTTTTAATGGATAGCCATTACATAAGGAACAGTATCCATTTGATATGGCAATGGTTCACTTGGTTTCCTGCCATTACTGGATGAAAATACTGAAGAGGAGCTACGATGCAAGTCGAAACAATGGCTATCCAATAAATATTACTCCACCCTCCTCCCCCTGACTCACTTCTACTTAAATTAAAAATATGATCAAATATTTGAATACAATCTTCAACTTATTGAGCAATAAATAAATGCACTGAAAGAAGGCTGGACTGAAATACTCTATAAATTAATAACAATTTATTGGCTAAAATGTCATGAAAAAAACATATAAATAATAATCACATTTTCTTTCCTATCCTGATTAATAATACGTATGAGATAACAGCTCAGTAAGGAACAATGATTTGTATTTTGAAATACAAATATAGAGATAATAGGGAGTAATGTATATAACAAAACATAGTGACTTACACAATGCTCTATTAAGGACTAAAAAAAAACAAGATACATTTGATAACACAATTTAAGAAACACTAGGACATGTATTTAGCTCCAATTTTTTTCTACTTAATACTAATATGCCTTGGAATTTGGAATTCGTTTCTAGGTGGTTATTTATCTCATACCAAACCTGAAAAAAATAAAATATTCAATTATTATTTATAACGTATATGTTAATTGCACACAATTATTACTATTAGAAAAGACAAAAATATGGTCAATTTAAATGTGAATGAAGTCAAGAAATAACAGAAGTGCGTAGAATCTCTGTCTTGCATAGACTTTTAAATAATTTATGTCTCAAAACATCATGTTTTCTCTCAAATACTGAACCAAATTCAAAGAGTTATATTTTAATCAAATGTGAAACTGAAATTGATATAAGGTTTGTAAATGGTTAACTGTATGATTTATGAAGATGGTCTGGGTGTCGGTCCACCTTTGGCCTTTTTATTTTTAATGTTGATTGCATGACAAGATAACTTAAAAAAAATAAATAGAACTTTAGATGACTACTTTATTCACTTGTAGTAAAGTGTATCATGTGGGTTTATTTGAAAACTTAAATTATATTTGTTTAAACAGAATTAATATTAAAAAACAAACTTTGCTTTTTAAGGACTCAAAGGGTTACAAATTAATTAAACTTTATCACAGGTCTTATAAAATATAATAGTCTTAATAAGAATATAAGTACCAATAATTAAAAAAATATAATAAAAACAAAATGGTGAACTAACGGTTGGCTTCCTTGCACTGCCTGATAGCCTCATTAAAGCCAGTACATAATGATATATCATCATTGTCAGCAGCACATTTCAGGAATTGTTTGATTTCCCAGGCACAAGGGCCAGTCGGCTCAGCAGCTCCCTGAGCGTGACCTTGCTGTTGCATAGCTGGAGCAGCAGCAACGGAGGGTTGTGCTACTTCACTTGGTGCACTACCGCCACCAGAAAACATGCTCGTAAGACCATGACCAACGGTATGACCCTGTGTAGAAATTATAAATTAGAATTAATATTTAAAAATAAGTTAGTAATTTTTTTTCCGAACAATATTACTTCACAAATAAAAAAAAGAAGACAAGAAAATAAATTATGTGAATATTTGACTTTCATTGAACCTAAAGTTGCTTAAATTAAATGATTACTGATTAAATAAACATTGATTTGATATTGAATTAAGTACAAATCCATGAGTAAACAATAAGGAACTATGTCAGATAATAATATATACTCACAATAGCTGAACCAACGGCAACACCACCAGCTGTAGCCGCCATTTGTTTAAACATACTCGGCTGTTCTGGAGCAACCATTGGTGGCTGTGCTGGAGCTGGAGCTGGTGGAGGAGCTGGAGGGCGTGCAGCTGGTGCAGCCCTCATAGGAACTGACCTACCAAATAAAAAATAAATACATTATTTACTCATAATAGAATAATAAAATTTTAATTAGCCTATTAAAAATGTAATTCTGTTTCATCAGTCACAGATTGACCATAATTTAATAGTCTATATGATTAGGGAAAAACATGTATTAAAATTTTTAAATAATATATTGTAATGTCTATAATTCTTACTTCCTATAAATGAAAAGACTTATTTCTATTCAAAGTATATATTTTTCAGATAAGGGTAATAGTCGACCAATCAATTATTAGTATGAAACAAAAGAAGTCAGGATTTACAGCCAAGAATGTTTTTATTATGTTATATATAAATTTACTAATATATATATAGTTTATTAAATTGTAAATTAAATGACCTAATACCCGAAAAGAAGAATTATTTATTATTTCACATTGTATATATACATATATATTTTTTTTCATTGGCCAAATGCTTTCCTAAAGATTAAAAAATCGTAACATACTTACTCTCTTTAAAAATTAAATCATGTATATAAATGTAAGGTGTCAAGAAAAAAAATGATTGCCCCTATAACTTTTTTTTTTAAGATCCCTTCAAGGACCACTTAAAACACAATATATCAATTTTAAGATCAATTTAAAAAAATAAAATAAAAAAGCATTTCAAGCCGATTTTTCAAAATCTCTTTGGAAATAAACTATACAACAGTATTATATTAATTTGAACTGCTCAAAGTTTACACAGCTTCAAAGATTGAAACTTCTTAACTGGTGAACATTCCACAAAAATGCAGTTCATACCCATATTAAATACTAGATTATTTTCAAGGGCACCATATTAACCTCTTAATCTAAACCCATTCCTTCAAAATTTATTTTAATCAGTTCAGTGGAAACTTGAAACAAATGAACAATAAAACAATATGCAATATAAGTGTTTATAAATAAAAATAATTATAAAAACACATATATATAATTTAATTTCCTTTAAAACAAACCCCATTTTATTCAACCTATAATATTGCTATTACAACAATAGACTGATAAAAATTAATTTTATTGTAGTTAGGTTCTTTCTTTTTTTCTTTAAAATAGTAATATCGTATTCTTTCCACATCAAAATTAATTTTGTGGATTGGTTCCATTCTGCTGAATACCAATGGATTATAGTGTTAGAAAGCAAATAAATAAACAAAAGGGGTGAGTAGTTACTAAGTGATAGAGTGAAAGCAGTAAAACATTTTCTTTTTCTTGTTCTCAATTCAGAAAGTAATAGCAACAAATTTCATTACTCCTTGTTCTTTTTTGAAACAAAAACTTTAAGCAATTGATTATATTTATCAAAATTGATAGATAATATAAAAATGGTTATCATCGAAAGAAATTAGTCCCTAATGATAAAACTAGAGGAGGGGCATTTTTCTGATAGGTTCAAAATATTCAATAACCACTTGAACCTAAGATTAAAAATTAATATATTTCAATCCTTTTATATTCAATAAATATTAAACAAAATTAATATTATTAAAAGTAATATATGTAATAAATTACTGGCTTATGCAAGACACATGTATTAGTCGCAATATTTTCAATATGTCTAAGATTTAAATTCAAACAAGCCTACATGTCTAATAAAAACATACCTAGAAGGTGGAGGAGAAGCAGATCTTCCACGGCGTGGCATTTTTGATTTTTTAACAAAGTCTTCGAAACTAGATTTATCTTCTTAACTCGCGAAGTCCAGAATGTTCGAGGTTATAAAGGATCAGATGATAAAAATAATTGAGCAAATGACGTAAATATCATGCTTGCCATGCCAATTTTATTTCATTCTTCATACTTTTGGTAATTTTTAGAACGAAATAAAATTTCACTATTTTAAAATATTGCTGCTTAATTATTAATCCAATAAAATCTAATGCTTATTCAATCGTAAAAATGAAAAAAATCTCTCATATTTAGCTCACTTATTACACAGTATGCCGTTATATTGAATTTAAATTGGGTAATATTACGACTGTTCTATTTCTTGCTAAAATAGTTCTATTCTTGTTTATTCTAACTAAACATTTTATGCTAGTTTCGAAATAGGACCTTCAACTTGTGTACTACCATTCAAATGTTGAATATACATACATTGGTACCAATAAATTTTGCTTGGAGTTTAAAATGTTGACTAATAGTTTGAGGGATCATAAGTCATACCTTACTACTACCATATTTATTTATTTTTGTAAGATGGAAAGCTGGTATCACGTCTGCCACAAATCCCAAAAATCCCTAGACCCGAGCCGGGTTCTGCTCAGCCCACCTCCCCGTGTATGCGTACCTAATTTTTTTGAGTCTCTGGATATATAAAGCATAATAAAATTAATATTTTATACTATATACCTAATTGTATTTTATACTTTTTTACATAACCCCTAAAAGGTGGGACACGTGCCCATATCGCGCGTGAGCCGCATTATGGCCGTATGTATGGCCCTTCTTGATAAAATCGAACATGGCTGTAGTTAGTCACCATGTGCTGTTTGAACCTAACCTAAGTGTGTGTTTGGTTTTATTGCGAATGAACCTATACAAAATCTTTGAGCGGCTCTAAAGCGAAACGGTTATGTGTTCCCAACCGTAAACCACAATTATTAAGTACTACTGAACATTTAATAGTTGACCGTTGCATTATAAAGGAAGGAGATGGTACGGGCTGGAAGTCATAAATAGGCTAAATAATGGCAAAACTGAATGAAACTCAGTAGAACTAGTGAGTTCTAAGTGAAACTGCTAGCTGAACACACCCCCCTGAAGAAGACCTGCAAATTCGGATCGAACCGTTGGCTTTTAATAAAATAGTTTTGCCGTTATTTACCCTATTTATGACCGCCACTCCGGACCATCTCCTTCCTTTATTAAGTACTACTATTCTTACCAGGCCCCTTTAAACCTCAGTTTCAGGTACAACGAGTCTGATAATTCCCTCTCCGTCCAGAGATGCAAACTCGTATTTTCTACAGATGCAACCAATTGTGCTGAATGAAATTATAGCTGTAACTCCACGGCCTTCTATCGGCCAATATCTAGATGACCATTTATTGTTAGAATAAATTTTATTACATTACAATCTTTCCCTACGGCACAAAGCGTAAAATAAGGAGATAGCCTCAGACATTTTCTTTTCATCATCTTTATGGATGAAATCCACACAATAAGTGTAAGATGTACCAAATGGACTGTAATCCATAGAAATGGAATCTTGAAACAAAATCAGTGTACTATTCGCAGTCGATGTTGTCCTTACCTCCATTGATAATCAAAATCTGCAGCGGGCATTAATCGAATGCCTAGAAGAGCTTCTTGCTATAAATTTTATTTGGAATTGGAGTGGCTGGGAAGACACATAGAGATCACTTCAGAAACGATAGCAGTTGGCCATACACTCATTAAAAATCCCTTATCAGAGAAGTCAATTAAAGAGGTTTGGATATATATGCAGGATGTGCGAGAACCTCAACCCAAGAAAAATAATAGAAGCTCAACGGACCAGTAAAAGACCCAGGAGAAGACTGAAGATATTGATTCTGAATCGCGGTTGATCCACGGAATAAATATCGACATTCCCACCGTGGTTAGAATGGATTTGGTTGTATCTCTGGAACAACCCTCTCATATGCCCTAAATGGCGAGGTAGAGGGTAATGGAGAAAATTTTCGACGGGGCTATGAATATTTGGAGAGAAGAGTTTTTAAAACAGAATTAGGAGAAAAACATGGGACAGACCACAGAAAGTGTAATTGTATATGTGGGCGAGGTGGTCGACCGGGCTAACGTGTGTGCACAACACCGCCGTTGTCCGGCAACCTGATCTATGAGACAATGGTGCTGGGGGTCTTTTAAATCCCTGCCCATACCCCCTGGCCCTAAAAAAACCGTATAACCTTAAAGGCGAGGAAGGGGAGGACCCAACAAAAAAAAAAAAGGATCTACGATTTGTCTAATCCTACCTTCGCTTGCACTGTTTTCAAAAAGAAGAGAGAAATATAATTTTTGGTGAAGAGGGGGGAGGGTTCATGCGCAATCGACCTTGGGAAGGGGGGATGGGCATCCGTGCTGAGAGGTAAAAGAGGAAGAAAAAGAAGAAATTGCAAGACCAACTACACGGCCTTCTATTGGTCGCAACACAGTCCTAACCAGATTGTTAGTGGCTAAATTTAGTTCGCAAAATATACTTTATCTTGCCTAGATGTCAATTAATAATATACCACTGAAAAATTTGGGTGCTCTTTAAATCTCCTCCATTCACTCTCTTCCGAAATAATTTCTATGTAATCAAATATAATTATTTTCGAGAGAAAAGTGACAGTTGAACTGTGTCATAGATATAACGGCCACAGTGAATTTTGAGTTTACTGTGGCAAATTTCCATAGATGAAGATGAATTGAAGAAGAAGTTATATTAAAAGATAGTTTAAATTTCAGCCTTTAATTTTTGCCCAGTGTCTAGAACAATGAGTTAGCATGATCCGCTGTGCGATGGTGGATGTCGAACCAGATAAGAAGAGCTTTCCGAAGATCAGATCAAAGTTGGAAGCAAGATGGGTCCTCCCTAATTACTGAGTTTCTTAACAAGGAGCATATGGACATTCCCGTGTAGCTTCTTGTAAAGATATTAATTCTCCATGTCTCAGCTGAAACGTCCCAAAGACCACAGAGAATATCGAAGCTCATTCCAATGCCTATAAGGCACTGAAGGCTAAACTCCAAATGAAGAATGGGATCAAAATCTTATTAGAGAGCGTATTCTTTCTGAAAAAAGGCCAGGAAGAACTACCTTTCTACAAATACTTTGTTAACGAATGAGAGGATGTCGTAGAAATATTCTAGTCATCCATGAGGAGAAAAGTGACAAACGTAGCTATTTTCCTTAAGGTGTAAATTTTGAAGTTCTGACAACGGACAACTGTTCAAACAGGTCTGAGGCGTATACTGAGAAGGCAGGATCGAGTTAGACCTGATTTCTAGATTAAAATTTTGACAAGGTTCAGTAGGAGTAGGTGTGTAACAGGTGGTTACAATGGGTGTCTCCTCTGAATCTTCTGATTCGTTTGATCTTATTATTTTAATGCATTTATCTACAACAAGTAAATCTCATTTGGTTCATGGCGATTATATTCAACGACTTCTCCAACTACTCAATTTAGTTGTGAAATTTGGGATTGTACAACTTTTGAGAGCTAATGGTCAATACTTCCTGTAACTAACAGGGAGAACTTGGCTTAGAGAGTCTTATTAGCTTAAACAGTTGATTATTTTATAAATATATATATATATATATATATATATATATATATATATATCAATCGCCAGGACGAAACCTGTAACCGTCTTCAAGAATCTTAGGAGAATAAACTTGTATGATTACTTAATCAAATTGGTAAATCGTTTGAAAAATTTACGTCTAAGATTGGTGCAGTAGTGGATGCTCTCCACATCTGAACATTAATCAAGAATCAGCCGGGCATTAACTTCAGCTGAAGCATGGGACGGAATTCATAAAAGTTAAATTTTTTTGGTTAATTTTACATTGACAATTATCACTATAACACAATAATCAACTTTTACAAAATCATTATTCATCAATTTATTTCTGAGAGGGAGAAAAAAAACAAATAATAAAATTATTTCAATATATACCGACTTATCTGCTTAAGTTATTCTATTGTTCTGCAAGTGGACTTCTACTACTTGTAGAACAACTAAATAGTTAAGCTTATTATTTTTTTTTAAAGAAAAGAGTAATTATCAGTTACTTCTACGACATATACTAGTCCTCTGGTTTTATTTTAGTAAAGAAAATCTCAGCCCTTTAGTTAATAGCTAAGAACGATATTACTATGTTTTAAACATTTCTTTAGTGAAATACACCATTTAGGGCATATTTTAATTGTTACCTCGCTAGGATCATTATTATCACTGGTTTATTGTTCGGCAGTAATAATAAACATTAAACACAGTAATGAGAATTTGAAATTTAAGCACTTGCTTACTCTATCTGGTTCAGCGAATATAAAAACAGAGCACGCTTTCTCAGGCATTTGATAGGAAGTAAACCGTTAAATTAAAAAAAATATATATAAAAAAAACGATTATTGAACATTTATAAAAAATACATATAAGATGTAGAATCAAAAATCCGAATATTTTGTTACTCAGCCTATGTATACTGTATATATACCATTATTCAAAAATTATCTACTTAAATGGTTAAAGACAATCCACTGTAATTGAGAAATATTTCACTTTCTCTAAATAAAGGAAAGCTTTTATTTCTGGCATAATCACCGGCTCAATAGACTACAGAATGTGAAGGAACCATGATCTGATTTATTTGAAATACCCGCCTTTATTTCTCTGATGAGAATTTGATCCATAATTTCAATGATTTCGTTTTGCTAACTGAGAAATTATATAACAAGTTAAAAGTTAATAAATAAAAACTATAGAGCTTGATATAATATTTATTTTTTTTTATCTTTTTGGAAGAAAACTTTTAATTATGAAAAGTGTTTTGGTATTTCTTCGACTACAAATTGGCGGCCAAAATTGATCATTCAGGCATGGGATTTGAGGTACATCTGTAACGGTAGTGTAAAACATTTCTTGGTTTAGTTGGGTTTTATTTACTGATTTTATTTGCTTTTATCAATAATGGGTGTGTATCTATCGAAGCCCGTTAAAGAAAAAATATCTAGCAACCATGAAAATAATTTTCTGAAGTGTGGTGCGAGTTCAATGCAAGGATGGCGTGTGTCACAGGAGGTGAATTGTTAATTTATAGTTTGATTTCCATTTAATGTTTAATATTGTTACATATATGAATTGTATTAATATGTTTTTATTGTGGAACCCGTACATTTTTCAATTTTAGTGGTATTTCTGTATATCTATGTTGAGTGTTGGAATATAGACATGAAGTACATGTGTGTACTGTATGGATTGGTTATTTGCTAGTTGTAGTCATAATTTCGAATTTTACAGGATGCCCATAACTGTTGCTTGGAATTTGATTCTGATGTTTCATTGTTTGCTGTGTATGATGGACATGGTGGTGCTGAAGTTGCAGAATATGCATCAAAACAATTGCCAAATAAAATTAAAGAGACTGAGGCTTACAAGAAAGGTGATTTTGAAAATGCTTTAAAGAATGCATTTATAGAATTTGATGCCACATTAGTAACTGAACCCGTTCTGGAAGAATTGAAGACCATCGCTGGTTCAAAATCTAAATCAACTGATCAAAACTCAGGTAAGTTGCTGTTTAATAGTTAGATATATACATACATAAATCGGTATCAATAGCTTATGGTCAATATTGATTTAGTCATTTGGTTTAATAATATGAATATGATATTCCTGCTGAAGTATGGTTGTAACGTACATATCACTTATATCTGATTATATTATGTATTTATGATTTTTGTGTTTAGATCTTCATCATTGTACTATATACTGAAGTAATTTCAATTTCAAAAACCTTGTCTTATTTTAAGTATGATTTTTAAAAAATGGGTTAAAGTTGTTTTCAGAAATTTTATGAAGTTTAATATCTGGTACTAAGTTATAAATGATGAAACTATACTGTTTTGCTAACGTTAGTGCAAAAGGTCGTATATAACAATTTTTCATTGTTATTCTATTTGTGCTGAAGGTGACATTTTGTACTATGTTGCTGCCATATGTTGGCTGATATTATGAAAAATATTAAAGGGAAATAAAATATGAAATAATACTGATAACCATGAAGAAAATATCAGTTTTAGTGTTCTTTTGTCAAAAAAGACACAATTTTTTTCACTAACAGCGACGGTTTATTATACCTTTTTTTGACAGGAACATTTGGGGACTGATTAAGACTCAATTGCTCCAGATTTATAATGTAACAAGTATGGTTAAAAATTGTGTTATTCAAGCTATAAATCAACACTCGGTAATATCAATACTATAATTTTTTATGAGTTATTTTTAACATATTGCTTAGTGGATTGAATATGTTATAAGAGCTATTAACTGTAAAGGAGAAGAAACCAGCCTGGAAATACTTCCTGAGCCAGTGAACATGTAATGCCTATCTCAATTCAAAGAATATGTATTTCTATTAAAAAGGAAATTGAGGGAATATCTAGGACATGAACTCGAAGGGAACGCAGAAGAAAATTAAAAAAAATATTCTACAATCTACAAAGGCATGTGAAAGGAGAGACTGCTACAAGTAAAGCTTATTTCAACTTGAAAATTTACCCAACAATTACTTTGTGTTTGAAATAAAATTTCTTTAGCATATAGTATAATGATGAAGCTTATCCATTTAAGAAAAACTTTTCATATTGACACTTTTACAGTGCTAAAGGTTTTGTTTGAGTTTAATTTTTATGAGTTTTTAAACTCCTTTTCTCGCTTCTTAAGAGGTGTATTGCAAGAAACAAATGTAGAGAAAATCATCTCATTTTTAGTTTTTACTTTAGTTTGATATCTGCAAGTTTCCAGGATTAGAAACATTTTACCTAAACATTATTTTAAGTTGTTATGTAAATTCAAAATGGTCTCAAAGAAAAAAAAGTATTAGTCTTATCAAGTTTTAGCTATAATTTTGGACTTAGCATTAAATAACTAGTACCTAATTATAAAAAATGTTCAATAACATGGTATTGGCAATTTCTAATGAATTAATCTAATTTTAAAACGCTATACTTTTGTTTTATCTTCATAAATGAATGAGAGATACCTAGGCATTTTAATTGCAAATCGGTAGCCATTTTGAAACAAAATGTTTGATGGTAATGTTTAGTTTCAAGGATCATCCTAGTAGTGACCTTTGTGGTTGGTGCCAATTTACAAAAAAATGGCCTAGTAATTTTGGAGACAAACTGCAAACGAACCAAATTTCTTGAACTTAATTTAATTTAATCTTTTTTTTTTTTATTATGGTTATTATCTTGAACCGAAATAAAAATACAAATTCTGGTAATGGTGGATCTGAATGAGGAGGGTTCTACTATACTCCAGTATAAATACTTTGAACCAGAAACTGATACATTTTGTATGAAAATTCTTCGGTGGAATAACTTTGCTTATTGCTTTTTGAATCAATTTATGTTGGTGGAGATAAGGCATTTATGGTATAAGTTTAAATTCATTACTGTAGCATTTATTTTTGCTATGCACTGAAGATTTGGTGATTGATACAATTTGTGAATCAATTAGAAACTGAAGATGAAACTGAGGAAGATGATGTTCAAGGCCTGCGAGAAGAAGCAAGAATGCCTCTGGCTGATGTTATTGCCAAGTATGCAAATGGTACTTTACCTAAGACTCCTGCTCTGCGAAGAATTCGTGGGGAGTCTTCAAAGTCACCATTTCTTCGAGCTAGGCCATCTTCATCTGGCAGTTCTGCAGGTTAGTTTTAAAAGTAGATCTAAGAACTTAACTATGATATTAATTATCTTTTAATATGTACGTTTTGAATTATTCCCTTTGGCTAAGCATTTTAATGTGTTTCTTGTAATATAAACTACGTATTTGTTATTAATTATAAGTTTTAGAATACTTTTGATAAAACTATTGAATATGTACTTGGTTATTGTATTTATGAACAACATGTAGATTTAACTAATTTACTATCTCTGTGTTTACTCATGGTATTAATATACCACTAAGAGAATCATTGGAAGTTGGACTATTAACTGGTAACAAATTTAGCATTGTTAAATTTTTATTTCCACTTAGCATATATATATTCACACATTTTTTAGTCCTAGCCTTTTGCCATTATGGAACTTAGTAGCTGTAGTACTAAGCTAAAATGCTTCAAATACGCTGCTGTCAATTTTCTCAGCATATATTTGTGGTTTCCTAAAACTCACACAAATCTGGCACTCCAATCTTAACAGCTTACCTTGCCCTCCATTAACAGCTTGCTCCATTTAGCTCTGCTCTTAGGAAATCTCTAGCGATGTATACCTAATATCTTCAGGTATATCTCAACATAATCCAGCAATCACAATCGAGGCATCCCCTGTTTTCGTCTATACCTGGCTTCGTGTAGAACAAGTTTCCTATGACTTATTTTCTTTAATCCTTGCATTGCTAGTCCTTAGCATCCAGTGGTCTACCTAGTACAAGGCCTCATATTTGGGCTCCGAGATTAAAATTGGCCGACTCCACTGCTGCTTTCCATCCGTAATTTAATTGTTAAAACTGAAAATTGGAAATTATCATTATGTATGAACTGAAGAAACTTATTTTCTGTGAGAATATATATTCCCGTGGGAGTCATCACTGTGGGGTGTGTGCCTTAATGTGCCTTCAATGTGGCAGTCAATCATTATGCTTGAATGTGGTGCAGGTCATGACCACAGGCCCTATAGTTTCTTGGACACCACTGTTAGGTTGGACATGCAGAATCTACGTCAATACTGTGACTGAAGCTTAGCTCAAAATCGTCCAGATGTATGATATATTGAAGGTCGAATTTTCTTCCTCTAAAATATCTTCAAATTTGTTTATTCAAAATAATTAACCTTTTCAAATTTTAACTAGAAATAAAAAATAGTATAATATTTTATAATTGAGTAATGGAATAAATAAGGGGTAGTTATAAACAGGAATTTGGGAAATTGAAAACAGCCTAAAGTGCTTGACTTTTCTCGATTCCCTCTATTTAAATGATAGTATAGGGCTTTCCAAAATAGATTTTCATGTGAAATGTTAAGGATTTACTAATATATGTTTATCTGTATCGATTTATTAATTAATATTAACTCTTTTTATTTTAAATTAAAATGTTATATGTTCTATAATTTTTACTTCCACTTCCCTGTATCAGGTTTGTAAATATGAATCTGGATTTTGTCCATCGATATCGATGGCTCTAGTTATTAATGTAATTACTGTTAATCCACATTATTGTTTTGTATCTGACGGAAAATATTTTCTACTCACAACAATAGTAAGTTCCATATTACAGTATTGTTTCAATAATGTTGAACAAGTAGGGTTTTGTTCCTACAAAGTACGAGTTACATACAGCATTAGTTTTTTGTTACCATCGAAAGAAAAACTGCTGCAGAATAAAGCTTGTCAAAGCTTACTGAGAGCATGCTCTTGATAATTCAGGAGCACTTAGCTCCTTATGAAAAGATACAAAAATAACTTGATGACTGTCCTTAGTTTACTGCAAAAAACCAAGTTCTTCTGGGATGGAATTCATAAATTACGAGATATATGGAAAAAATGTAGCTGACAATACTTCCAATAAAATGTTTTTTCAACATTTTCATGGAATAAACTTATATTTTATATAAGAAAATTCAAGTTTCATATTCACATACCTGGTTTATGCAAATATATCTTCTCTAGGTAGGGTGGTAGGTTAAAGTTTTGTGATGTCTGCACAGCACTGTATTTTTAAGAAATGCTATCATTTTTTACCTACTAACTAGAGGTAACATTGTTAGGATGCTATGGGAGCTGGATTTGACACTAATAAATTTGAAAGATCAAAGATATATAGTATTATAAGATTGATAACAGCCCTATTTGATTTCTGACTAGCTGATTCCGTTTTCTCGCAATCAATGCCCATTACATGTTCAATAGTTTTTTTCGTTTGAGTTTAATTATATTGTAACCATAATTTCTAAACCATAATAGTATGCTATTAGAAGTATGCTCTTAGGAATATATTGGAATTACTTAATTTTAGTCGTAATACACACATTATTAAGATGCATATGTTAGTTAGATATTTAATTGTTTTTCAAAATAAATCTCCAGTTATTAATTTTTCCAGATTCAGAAGTTACTTCGAGTAGTAGCGGCGGCGGCAGTAATCAAGAAGTTGTTACCAACGGTGTTGCTGATGAATCTGCAGCTGAGACAAATGGAGAGAAGTCAAAAGATAATGAGGCCTCAGTTAGTTTTCTTTTATTAATTCTATTTATCAAAATAATTTAGTGATTGACCGGTTGCCTGTAGACACCTACCAGGATGTCTAAAAAATTGGGAACAGTCAGGGAATTTTTCGAAAATTTAATCTTGACAAAGTAAAATGATAAAATTTAAAGTTGGTACCCAAACAAGTTTTTCTCCCCCCCCCCCACTACCTAAGCTAGAGAAGCTTTGTATTCACATGCAAGGTTTCTAAAGTTTTTATCTTGAGACAAAAATTTTTATAGCTTAAAAACTGTTTTTATAAATTGTTCAAATTAGATTTCCAATGATTTTTCTATTTTCTTATAACCTAATTCCATAATGGCAAATTATTTGTATTATTTTCCCTAGTGTAACTGAATATGTTTGCAAATTATACATTTGATATTAAATTATGTCTATATCTTATGAATTATTTCATAAGATACGTCTTAAGGACACCTAGGCCTATCTAGTCCCTCGTCTTGTTTAATAAGCTATGGTTCTTTTTTTTTTGGCTCTATTATTTTATTTTTTTATTATTCATTAATATTTATTCATGTTTCCTAATATTTTAGAACAGCTTTGTAGTAACAGATTAAAATTAATAACATTTTCAATTTTTAATTAGTTCCTGCCATTTTTGTCTTAGGTTCCAGGGAAATCTACAGATGAATGTGATGAAGTCTCTAGCTCATCTGTTAATGGAGAAAATGCTGAAAGTGTTTCCAGTTCCGAGAGGTTATCAGCTAAGAGGGCTGTCGCAAAAATGTTTAGGTAGTGATGATTTTATTTAAATACAAAAAAAAATCTATAATCATTGTTTTTCATATCAAAGAAACATTTAAAAGAAATAAAAAATATAGAGCATTTAAAGAAAATCATCAACTTAAGAATCTCAGCATATTTATAGAATATCAATTGCTTTTAGGTCTCTCTTGACAACGACCAATGATGGTGATGATAGTGATTCTGATGATAATGATGAAAGTTTCAATGCCACGGCAGACACTTCAACCCACCAGTCAAGGTTAGCAAACAATTTTTTTGTAGCTTATGCTTAGTTATTGAAATCAGAGTGACATTTTTAAACGTCCATTATGACTAAAGCTTTTAACAAATGTGTTTTTTGCGAGATCTACAGTCTAGGTCTTATAAATTTTTGTGTTAGTAATGCTATTGAATTCAAAAATATTAACGACTGTGGTCCTATATTTGCCTTTTTTTTTTTTTTTGTAGCTTCAAATGGTTAGGGATAACTTGGCTAGATTTTTAAATCTGAGGTCAATTTTTGAACGTTTTTCAGTTTTGATTCAAATTTCAGTTATTTCAAGAATTCATTAAAGAATATTGAATTCTGAGCCATAAGGGTACATAGCTATATTGGATATCTTGGCTGAGTCTGGTCCAAATTTCTAACAATAGGTGCTCTTCCAGTATGAAATTCTTCAATAACCTTTAATTCAATAATAAAGTTACATGGAGCTAGATTTCTAGATATACAGCCAATTTGTATACTTTATTCAGCTTTATTATTATTATAACTTCAGAATTGTGCTTGCAAGTGAAAACTTGATTGGTTTAAGGACATTGCATTTTTTTATTGATATTTAAAAATATATTGTAGTTCATATTTTTAAGAATGTTAATACCTCTATATTTTATGATTATTTTAATATTTGTTGTCCTCATTAAATATTCTTCATATTAGACAAAATAAAATTTATATCAAGGTCATAGATAGTTATTTATGTTTTTATACACATATTATTGCATGATTTCTACACTGAATTATAATCAATGTTTGTTGATAAGATGACACTATAACAAACAAAAAGTTGCTAACAAAATATTGTAAATTATAAAATGTTATTGTTTATTGGGGATATTAAGATAACCATTCTTTAAATATAAATAATGCAGTTTTCGTTCACACTAATTTTCAAGTTCATCAATTTTTGTAGTGATGAGGATGAAACAGAAAATGGTGAAGAAGATTTAGGAGAAGATGATACTGAGGACGACGAAGAGGAGGAGGATGTGGAGGAAGAGGAAGAAGACGCTGAAGATGAACAAGAAGAAGATGATCTAACGGAGACTTCATTGAAAGAAACAGAGGAGGTAGTTGTAATTTTGGATGTTTGTATACATTCACTCTCAATAGCTATGATTTTTAATAGATTGTAAGATAATTGTTTATTATTCCAATGTGATAATATTTTCCTTTTACTTCTTAATTTAATCATTTTTAACTCTTATTTATTAAGTGCATAATTTATAAATAATCCTCAATTATTTCTTGCATTAGATCTGTCAGCTTAAACCAAATCTAAATTATTATATAGAAATGCGGAACACACTTACCTTTATAAATTTTTTTATTTATTTATTAATAAGCCACATTTTTTTAATTTTTTTTTATGTTGTATATATTTGATATTTATTTTTAATGTATTATTTTTGTTTTCTTAGCCAGGAAACGATTCAGGATGTACTGCTGTAGTTTCTTTGATCACAAGAGAACGTGTAATAGTGGCCAATGCTGGTGACTCTCGTGCTGTACTTAGTAGAAAAGGTGAAGCGGTCGATCTTTCAGTTGATCATAAGCCGGAAGACCCAATTGAGTTGAAAAGGATAACTGGAGCTGGTGGAAAAGTTACTGCCGACGGCAGGGTCAATGGAGGACTTAATTTGTCCAGAGCTTTAGGTAAATATGTACTTTTATGATGGGGAATAATTATCACCCATGAAGCTAAAAGCTAAAATAAAATAAAGATAAAAGCTATCTTTGTTTCTTTTGGTACCAATAGTTCATAATCTTGTGGTTGAGTGCATTCTCATTAATGAAATATCTGACCAATAACTCAGGAAACTATTATCATTTTGCTTAATTTTTATTTATAGAATTTCTTGTTTTGTTGAGACAATTAAATCCACCCTCAGGTACTTGATTTCATGACTACTTATCAAGAAGAAACCTTTTGTTTTTAGAAACATTGTTAACGTTTTCTATTTCTCACTAATATCTTTCCCAGAAGTTTTACAGTTGGTAAGATCTAGATAGTCCTCACCAACCAACATGTCTCGACAAAGCCACAAAATTTTACATTGGTTTAACATCTATTTTGTAGTAAATATCCAATGAAATGATTTACATTTCTAATCATAGTAAACTATATAATATAAATAAATAAATATATTTTGTCGTATTTGACTGATTATGATCCGATTATCTAATCTGTTTCTGACATGTTTATGTTTCATCAGATTCAGTACAATACTATAAAATGAATTGATGTTTGTAGGTGATCACATGTACAAGAAACGATCTGATCTTTCACCTGCTGAGCAGATGATCACTGCTCTTCCTGATGTCAAAGCTGTCGATTTACGAGAAGGGGAAGATGAATTTATTGTGCTTGCTTGCGATGGTATATGGAATTCTATGTCGAGCCAGGAAGTTGTCGATTTTGTGAGACCACTTATTGCTAAAGGAGAAACTCTATCTTCAATTTGTGAAAAGGTAAATTAATTTGTCTGTAATCTGTCAATCTGATGATGAAACAATTATTGAATACAAGACGTTTACAGACAAAAAAGTAGGAATTTTATTATTCTGAAAAAGTATAAGATTTTTATCTAACTAGTACAAAAATCATAGAATTTTCAGATAATTTATTAAAAAAATAAAATAAATGAAAATTTACTGTACACAAATAAAACAATGAACAAGTAGGTACTCAAATGATTTCGTACTATTTGTCCTCAGGACTTAATATTTACTTGAATCCAACACATTGTTAAATGTGTTCAAGGATTTAGGTTTACGTGAAGTGTTTTTCATTACCAATTCTAGACTTTGGGATGATAAGATTCATACTTTTGAGGGCTATTTTTTTTTTTTTTTTTTTTTTTTATATCTTAAAATAAAATAGGAGACAGAATATTAACAAACATTTGTCACCTTTTTTGACTCTTGAACTCTTGATCTTTAATAACTTGAGACACCATCACGAGATCTTATAATCCTTTTTACCCAATATTAAACAAGTTAAAGTTTACATTTTTCATTGTTAGGTTAAACTTTTATCTGACCGTGCTCTATGTATAAATGATAAGAAATATAATTGTGTGTTTATTTATATTTTCATAATTTAAATTACTTTTGCAGCTCTTCGAGAACTGTCTAGCAGAAGACACACTTGGCGATGGGACTGGGTGTGATAATATGACTTGTGTTATTGTTAAGTTGTTTTCAAGTGACAAAGTATCCTCCAAAAGAAAATGTGAGGATACAGATAGCCCATCAGAAGAGACTAAAAGAACGAAAGTAGACATTGAATGTGGAAATGCATAAACAGTCGTTAATGTTTATATATTCTTCATATTTAAACATAATTATCCCATTTTAATTTTTAACAGAAAGCTCTTACCAGCTTAAAAGCTGATAATGTCCATCTAAAATCTTGATACAATAGGTTCTCCACAATTAGATAACGGTCCAATGGCGAACTTGTGCATTGTTAAGTTGAAATTAATCTCTTTTTTTTCTTACCTTCAGGTTTAATTTACAGATATATACACCTGTTACAAAATGATAATGTAATATATGCATATATTTTGTAAATTAAATAGGAGGATAAGGAAAAACCAAACTTTGTTTTCAACTCACGAATTTGTTAACTTGAGTTCACCTTCGTTCTGTCATATAATTGCGGAAGAGCTGTAGTAATATTTTTCATCAAGCCCAACTGATGATATAAAAAAAAAAAAATACACTGATGCTGTCTGATATATTTCCAATTTAATAATAGGCATGGACATAAGTTCCATTTTTATAGAATTATTAAATTATTTTCCTTTGTAGAATATTGTCATTTGAATTTGTATTAAGTGGCTACTTTGTAAATAATCTTCAGCCTTTTTTTTCTTAAGGGGATTTTTACAATGTAATTTTTTATCTTTTTTTTTTTCAAGATACAACAGAGAATGTTCAAAATGTTCCTATCGGATTAAGTCTTGGCAAGTTTTAATTTTGTGATTGCCTGTTGCGTAGAGAATAAAATTCCCTCCCTTTTCTTTAAGTAGTGATTGTAAATTATAGTATTTTGTATATTTATGTGGTATGCTGATACAGTGGTTTTATGAATGATTTTTTTTCTCCTTTTTTTTTTTTTTTTTACTTAATTTATATATTTCTCTTCGAGTTTTTGAAGCATTGTAAGTTCTACAGATAAAAAAAAAAAGTAAAAATAAATAAGATCTCTGCTTATATATATATACTGTTTCTAAAAATATATCTTAAGCGAGTAGTTTATTACATAACTCAATAAAAAAAAAAAAAATTGTCAATAGTGCCAGTTAAGATAAACTTAGTGATGAAGATGTTTAGTCACATAAATTAAGAATTTAACTCACAGGTCAAGTTTTTAATAAATAAAAAAATTAACTAATATATTTAACCCATTCCATGCTTACCAAACACAATCTTTCTGTATAAATAATTAATTATCAAGTAGCTGAATGAGACTCTTGGTGAGAGTCATGTTTAAACTATTAAATATTGGTTGAAAAAATTAAGTGAAATATTTCATTTGATTTTGAAAAATTCAATATCACTTTTTTTTTTTTTTTATGGTTGAAAACCAACTAGTTCTTTGTTATAACAATAAAGGATGTAGCCTCGAGTTGATAATTTTTTAATAATTTGATTGACTCTTAATTTTTTTTGTTACTATATGAACCGGTTGTTCTTAAAGAATTAACTTTCAACAAAATAAATAATATAGATATGTATAGAATGGGTTAAAATTATTGATGCTTTCCTTAACTGTGAAAATTATTTGATAAGTAGTTTTAAAAACAATAAAATGTCTAAAAAATTTTTTACGTTATTTTTACATTAAAATGATTAGATGTAGATGAATAAATGATGTGCATTTATCTGATTAATATAGTTAAGGGCACAAACTTTGTACCTGATAATCAAATGTGCAGGGCATTATAGCCAGCCTACATTATTTTATTATTATTTTCACACTTAATGGCATGTAACTAACTGTCCAATTTACATTATTTAATTTTTAATAATTTGGATTTTGTTTAGTAAACTTTTTAAGAAATTTTAATTGTGATCGTTTCCTTTTATAAAATATATCTTAAGACTAAATTATGAAATGAAATTCCAATCGATTGTAAATATATGGATAAATTTCTAATACATGTAATTCAATATTAGATAATTATTTTTGTATATGAAATAAAAGTTACTGTGAACATGCCAATTTAACTGATTATTCATTTCATGACATGTTCCTGACATTTTGAATTTATTTATTTTTGCAAATACTGCTATCTACCTATTCGGGTATTGTAAATAATAGTGGTAAATGATTTACATTCATGAATAAAAAAAAAAAATAGTAAATGTAATCGTGAGTAAGTGCATATTGCCTCATTAAATACAAAACCCTTAATTAATAAGAGTTGCCCTATATGAGAAATGGATTCCAAATATAGATATTTCACAAAATAAAAAAGACAGTTATCAAAATATTTAATAATTCATTAATATTGAGGGAAGAATAGTTGGGGTGGTCAGTCAAAAAAGAAGGCAAAAATAAATGATAATATTTATTTTTACATATGCCGACGTTTCGACCTGAAGTTCAGGCCATCATCAGGGCTAAGAAAAGAACCAGATAAGGTACGAGAAATATAAAAATTACAGTAAAATGAAGTTGTTAGAATAATGACAATAGTAAGAACAAGAGACAAATAATAATAATAGGTACAAAGTGTGGAATGATGAAGTAAACATAGTCAAAAAAGGTGACATAAGTATTGTAAAGGGAATCTTAGAATAAAATGTAAAACAGAAAAATATGAAGTTATATAAATGTAAATAAGAACGAGAGATATATTATTCATAAATATTCATAATATCCTTAATATTTATGAATAATATATCTCTCATTCTTATTTACGCTTCCGATACGTTAGTTCAAACTTCGTCAGATAACCGTTGGAGATGACGCCACTATACAGCCCTTCTATCCACCTCCATCCTTCAATAACACGAGCATTGCATCTTTCACCTTAGAGCAGTCAGGTTGTTACCATTTTTCTCTTACTTATTCTCTTTCTTATTTCAACCTTCTCAGTTTCTCTCCTCCTTCCTTTCATTCCTTTTCTCTGTTTTAACTCTTTATTATTTCATACTTTGTCTGTACATATTGATAGACTTTACAACATCTCAATTTTCTATCTAAATATTCTATTCACTATATCTTAATTTTACTATTTATTTCCATTTCTTATATAACTTCATATTTTTCTGTTTTACATTTTATTCTAAGATTCCCTTTTCTCATACCTTGCTATCTGGTTCTTTTCTTAGCCCAGATGATGGCCTGAACTTCAGGTCAAAACGTCGGCATATTTAAAAATAAATATTATCATTTATTTTTGCCTTCTTTTTTGACTGACCACCCCAACTATTCTTCTCTTCATTGTCCACGACAGTCAACCATTTACCAATTAATTAATATTGAGATTTATGATACAATATAACCTTTAACGAAGTAAAATGAAAAAGTATCTGATGTGGTCCATCTGAAATTAATTTTGCTTTTTCACTGCCAAAGGTAGAGAAACCTTTTATTCCTGCTGGAGGTTGAACAAATGTGTGTGCTCTAAATTTCTATCATGTTTTACTTTTTAGGCTCGTACCCTCCAGTTTTATTCTTTATCAATATTTTTCTGAGAACTTGTTCCCACGAGCTTAAGTGTCATAAACATATCCTGCATCAGCACCCATGTCTCGTTTCCATTGGTGACAACTGGGCGTTAGATGATTTTATAAACTATCACCTAAGCACTCAATGAAAGATCTTTGAAGCGTAACTCAAAAATGGCAACAATTTCCTGCTGCTATGGCAACAATTTCCTGCTGCATTTTGTTTTTCAGTGATATACGGTTCAGGATATTTGAAAGACTAACAAACTGGGCAATAGTACAAAATGGAAAATGCGAAATGCACTCGTGAATTCAGTTTTAACATCTTTAGCATTCCTACAGTATATAATAAATATATATTAATACTGTTATTTTCATAAAATTGTTTTTAATCTGTGAAAATAGTACTTCAAATTTCTTGTTGGTTATCCATGCTCCATTCAGCCACCTTGCCCTAGATCTTCCCACTATTATCCTGTGCAGTTCCTCCAACATTAGCAGATTGGAATCCCGGAATCATGTATTCGAGAGACAGATATTCTCCTTTACAGGTCCAAAGATTTTTCCGGAGGATCCTTCGTTCAAACGTAAAAAGTTTTCCTTCATCTGCCTTGGTGGTAGGTAGCTCATGCTTCTGAGCCATAGATCAACACGGCGTATCAGAGTCTGGCATAGATGTATTTTTGTATTATTGCCCAAAGACCTGCTTTGTAGATGTTTCGATAGGGCGAAGAAGTATTGGTTAACGGCAGTAATTCTTGCTATTTCTAGGCTGAGGTCGTTGCTTGTACTAAGTTCTGTGGCTAGATAGGTCCACCTGGCAGAACTTATAGGATTTTATTTCTATGAATGGTTTCTGGATTTCTCCATTGTCAGCACAGATATAGTTTGTTTTATGTTCATTAATTGCAAGTTTTAGCTCCTTTGCAGCCTTCTCCAATGCCAAAAAGGCTCTATTAGGGCTCGCACTGATCTGTCTTTGATGTCAACGTAATCTGGATATCCTAGAAACTGAACAAAGCAGGAGAATATGTTCTGGAAGTTGGAATTCCTGAAGATTTACAACTTCCTGAAAAGAAGGCGGACAAGTTCATCCCCCTTTCTAATTAAATCATTGTATTAAATGGTTCTAACTGTAAGTAGAGTTTAGTAAAAAAAGTTGTGAAATCAACTTGGCCAGGTCTATACCTTCCTTAAATACGTAATTTCATTGTCTTTGAGCTTTGCAGTACACACAGGCCATTTAGTAATTCTTGGTTATTTGGGCTCAAGTTCCCTTAAAAAGCCATTTCCTTTGAAAACTAGGATCCAAAGTTTCGATATGGTGTTCTTATTTTATTCATTTTTGAAGTACTGGAACGGTTTAAATCTAATGAATAATTAAATATTAAAATGCAAAATTATCTGTTTAATTTATCGTTTGTGAGTTTTGGTTTAAGTTGATTCGACATTGGTAATTTCAGTACCTATTTAATCATTTCCTTTATGTATTTTTGTTTTTAGTTCAACGTCCCTTATTGTTAGTATTCAAAATTCCATTTATGAAAACTATTTTGTTTTAATTTTTATTTATGTAAACTAAGTTTTCTTTTTCAAATCTCATCAAAAACCATTATTTTTTGTCGATCTTATCCGATATCTCCCGATCATCGGGTTCCAGCGAGTTCCAAATGAAAAAAGCGGAATACGGCGCTGGGTTTCTACAGTTACCGCAGGACACTATCACCCTTTCATTCAAGCATCCTTAGAAAAAATATAATAATATTAAATAATAATTATATATAATAAATAAAATAAAATAAAGAAAAAAACTTTTTTAATAACATATAAATTTAAAAAATGACGTAAGTTGTAGAAAATTAATATTTAATTAAAACTATAGCGTTAAACCACTCCTGTCTAGTTGTTACATACGTCTCTTGTTCATTGAGAAGGCCGTTTTGCCCATTACATTCGTTTTCTAAAATATAGTTTTATCATAGTTTATATTCATGTACAAATCAATTAAGCATTGGAGGAAATTCTGATAAAACGAAGGACATTCTTTTTTCGTTTCAAAAAATGAAAAAGAAACTATCAAAATTCACGTTAAAAACTTGTGAAAATAAACGTTCGAAACATATTTTTTTATCTAGGAATTGCTTTTGACATACATTTAAAATTTTCGAATCACTTTAGTAAAAATATTAAAACTAAAAGACTAAAAACATCACTTACTATCCTCCCGACAAGCTTTTCGGTGCTCTTAAAGATTTTATTCTACACAACAATTATACGTTCGACCCTACTTTATGACAATCCACTATTTTCAATGATTACAGAGTCAAAAGAAAAACGACTACAATTGTCCCAAAAGTTATGTAAAATAGTGAAAGGGACAACCATACAATGAGCCGAAGAGGTAAAACTACACGAATGATTAAAAATACCAAAAGTAATGAATTTCCTAACAGTAAGGAATGCCATTCATGAACCAGTGAAAAATGTCACAACTTTATTTCGTCAACTTAAACATACCGGACCACCTCTCAACAATGGCAAAAATTGTTTTAGAAATAAGTATTAATCGTAATTTTATTTTTTAATCTAAATAAAAAAAAAAAGATTGAGCCCATCACTGTAAACAAATCACACAATGAATATTAACATAAACAATAATAAATATATCAGGACCTTTTTAAAATGCAAATATGCATTAAAAAGGAGAACTTTCAAGACAGACTGCAAAATATACCAGAAAATATATAAGGGGCTACATAAAAAAAAAATTCCAGGTTCAAAACTCTACGTCGTGGGTGGCTTCACATCAACCTATCTGATCCGATCAGATTCCGAACTCTAGAAGTTTCCAGAAGGAAAATGCATAGCGCAAGTTGCGGCATCAAAAGTTTTGATGAAGGAATATTTTTATGGTGTTTTGAATTCTTGAGGAGGACAAATTTCAATGAAGTTATGAATCTTTGGAAGGAAACATATTTTTGGAGGAACTGTCAAAGCAGGAAACAAGGGAAAAAAGGTGAAACATACAGAGCAAGTGTAATTGTGTATGATCTATTGATTTTTATTGATTGGTTATTCTTTATATTATACTTTTTTATTTATTTTTTATATTGTTTATACTGTTTTTAAGAAGAGGAGAGCAATTTCTTGGGGGAGTAGAGGGAAAGAAAGAGTTATATATAATACTTGATTAATATTAATACCCCTGCCAAACTCAAAAACATAAAATGATTGTTATTTTCTACGGAAAATCGAACCATGGTTTATAAAAACGTTTTTATCTTATTCTTCTTCGTTCTTCCGTCTATATGGCAATGTAAGGAAGCAAAAAACTAAAATAAGTGGTCCTATTTAGCTTCTCCTGACTTCCGAACATCTTGGTCCCAAGGTCTGTAGGTTGGGCCATATCTGCCTCCGTGTATCGTCCAACCGCTGGCGGCTTTGCAGAGCACGCTCTGTGGTTTGTTCGTTTTGGACACATTCAAACAGGGGACTGGTCCCCATCTTTAGTTTCCTGAAGAGGTGTGATTTTAGGCGGTCATGTCTAATTTTGAGGCGAAAATGACAACTTGTTCCCTTTTGGTTAGCATGCAATAATCGTCATGGGAATTTTGATTTGAGTGACTTGCTTTCCACCTCTGGCTTATGCCTGCTATGTGAATAGTTTTGCACTCCTCCAATCTAGGGATGCTGCTAATTTAGGGGAGCAATGTTTCTTTTTTAGTTAATCGGTCTGCAATTCATTCTCCACAGGTCCCCACAATGGCCATCGCAGTACCACCTCTTAGTACTACGCTCTTCCATTTCTACCTAGTGTACTCTTCCATTTAATTTATTTTTAAGAAATTCAAGAACGGATGCTGCATCTGTCAGGAATACAATACATGAGAGTGGGCTTATGACTCTTTAGGATCTATGCTGAAAGTCAAAATAGAGCCATGCTCGGCTTTGTAGTTCTTTGAGTCCAGTAGAAAGACCTTTTTGGAGAACATGTCCATTAGGGACCCTCGTCCATTTATTTTTAGGATAGGCCGAATTAATGTGCTCTGGAGTGCAGGCTATGGCTTCCAGAGTATCCAGGTAAGTTTTTTTTTGTCATGCGTCTTCATAGTCTTCAGCAAACTTCACGGTTTCTGCTTTAGTATTACATTGGGGATACTTACCGATTAATTGATTTGTTTTGTTTAGACGACTTTCGCACTTTACCGAAGCGTGTTTTCCCTTTCCAAATCTCTCTTTAAGGGGGTGGTTTGGAATACAGCCTACTTTCATTCTTGAATTAAGGAGTTTGATTATTTACCTGTCTTCCATTTTTGTAATCAAGTAAGCGTTTCCATTTCCTTAATTGGCGTCAAGGTCTTTAAATATTTCTCTTAATTTACGGATACCATGCATGTTTAATACCTGTAAGCTTTCTTTAACGTACATTTATTATATAGCTATAATTGTTATTGTGGTTTAAACTACTCAACACCCCGTAGATCTATTGTCTCCTATATACAAATCTCCGTATATTTTAAAAGTTTTTTTTCCCGAAAAACAGGGATTTTAATGTAATGTTCCAAATGTTGGAGCGTGATCCTAAAATGACGCTTAATGACGCACATGATTTGAGAACATTTTCCAACAGTTTATGATAAATAAAGAAAACAAAATAAAGGAGAAAATACGCCATATCAAGAGATGGATGATTATGGTTTTATGAGACAGATAGAATTAAAACTTTTTTAACAAAAATAGACTCTGACTCGATTCAGGATAGATAAGTCGTAAATTTTGTGTTCAAGTTTGTGCTTATTTTTTTTTTTTAAATCACATTATTTTTTTTTAAACTAAAATCTGAAAACTATTTAATTTAGGTTGTTATCAAATGTGGTATAATTCGCAAGACAAAATTTACTTTAGATGAAAGTCGAATTTATCTTTGTTAGAACTATTGTTAAGTGATCTTTTAAGCACTTAAACTATTATCACGATTATTTTTATTAGCCTCCTACTGAACTAGAAAAATTCTTAGTTTAATAAGCAAATAAGTACTTATCGAGTTGAGGGTCGCAGTTTAGTAAAAAAAAAAATAGGTGATGTAAAATTCTAAAGTGTCCTGTGTTTTCAGTAATAATAATCACAATTAATTATTAAGAATTTTTTTTTTTTACTTTTCTACCCTTACTAGGTAAGCAAAGTAATGTAATCGGGCCAAGTTTCCGATGTGTGATTTTCAACAGATCTTTACGTTTCATGGCCCTCCGAGTCTGAAAAACACATTTTCAGCCATTGGTCTGTCTCTCCCACGATTACCTCGGGAAGGAGCACACATTTTTGGTCTGTTTCTCAAAATATTATTAAATTTCGGACAAAATTAAAACAAAAATCCTCCAAATCGGAACAGTTTTAGCACAGTTACAATGTCTTAAAATAAAAAAAAAACAGCTAAAATATCTTAAAAGTTACACTCATTAATTTCATTATTAATTAATTTAACTTATGCTGGATTCATTTAAATGTCTTGCTTTCAATGTTACACAACTCCTTGTTGAAATAAAAAAAAACGCGATTTTGCATAATATAAATTTCCAGTTATTTTTCATGCAACGGATGGCGGATAAAAATGAAACAGGAGTAAGAAATCAATACGCCATTGATTTTTAAAACGTCATTTACTTATCACAAAACTTAGTTAAACTATTTATGATAATAGATACAGAAATTTAAAGCCACGTTAGTAGAAAATTATGACATGAAATCTCAAGGAAACAAGATTTTTGTATAGTTGTAAATAAATAATAAAAAAGAAAATGCATGAGAAGAAAATGAAAATGAGAAGAAAATTGAAAAGAAAATGGTTTAGCTTGATCAGTACCTCCCCCCCCCCACCCTTAAAGGTAATGAGGTAAATGAATTGTAGAAATAACAAAATAAATTATTTTATTAACAATTCGATCATTTAAAAAATATATCTTAGTAAATGAATCAATGATTTAACAAAAGTCTATCCAAGATTTCTTGTTGCTCACTTTCAGTTTTCAATAGAGACTGATGCTGAATTCGCAACCTTTCAAGCTCTGTAGACTTCTCTAATATTAATGCCTGAAAATAAAATATATTTTTTTTATTAAATTGAATATTTCAGAATAGAAGAAAAGAAAGCAAATTAATAAATTAAAAAAATTAAAAAAATGAGATAAAAACTCAAAGAAGATAAAAATATTATCGAAGGGCGATATTGGAAAACTCCTGCAGTCATAAGTCTCTCAAATACCCCTACATAATTTTACTTCCACCAACGTTAGTACATCCCACATCAGCAGCCAAAAAATACTAACCAAATAGATTGTCACTGGCAGTACTTCCTCCTTAGGTATTTTTTTTTTAAATTTCTCTTTTGGCCAGTCAGATTTTTTCTCTCTCTCAAAACTTAAAAATCCTTCCACCCAAATATATACAAAATAATAAGTAATGTTAAAAAAACTACTAGTTTTATTTCTGTTTTGGTCATTCTGTTTAAAAACATATTAAACTTTGCTCAGATTAGGGCTTGATCGATAAAAATAGTTTCCCATTTTTCCCCTCCCAACTTTGGAATTTCCCTAAAAAGGGAAATTTTTCACCAAAGTGGAAACCCTGATCAACGCTCCTTGAAAAGTCGTACTAACATTTTATGCTGAATTTTACTATTTTTTACTCAAAATTTTGCTTAATAGCTCAAGTCATATATTTTTAAACATTTTTTCATTATTATTTTTTTAAATTTAATGTGTCGAGGAGAAAATGAATTTTATTCAAGTCATGAAATAAGTGTAACAAAACATGTCTAAAGGTTCATACATTTTTATAAACAAACGTACAACTTTATATAGCATTTCCAAGTCTAATTTAGAATTTCCCAAACCAAAATGTAATTTTTTCCAATCAAATTTAGAACTTTCCAAAACAATGTAAGAATTTTTGTAACACAAAATGGGTTTGAGTTTTCTTATTAAATTCCTTAAATGTAGTACTTATTATAAATAATAACGTTAGCAATTATAGTATTTAAAGATGGATTGTACAATTTTAATTTATTGATGAGGCAGGCTAGCTTCATCTTCGAAAGAACCAGGCAAGGTCAAGAGTAAAGAGGAATTGTTCCTAGTATTAGAGGGAGTAACATAGTAACACTTGTATGTTATAGCACATCAGTAACGAAAAGTTGCTACATTATGAAGTAATCTCAAAACGCAATGCTGTTCGGTTCAATGATTTCTTGTCAGAACTCCAAGTGAAGATAACTGATACTTTACGAAGTGTTTTGGTGATAGACAACGCAAGGATTTATCGAGCTGCAAAAGTAAAAGAAAAGAGGCAGGAACTCGGTCCCACTGTGAGGTATCTTTCTGTCCACTCTACTTCTTTGAATTCGGTGGAGGAGGGTCTTCTCCAAAATACAAATTAGGACAAGAAATATTCTATGTGAACCAAGAGAGGATAATTTGGCCGAATTAATACCAGAAGCTGTATCTACAATAACAACTACAGCTTGCGCAAACTGCAATTGCAAAGTGCTACATTTCTCCCTCTAACAGTAGAAACCTTTACTATTGCACGTGTATTTACTCTTGACCTTGAATGGTTCTTTCGAAGATGGACATTAAATCCTACCTCATCAATAAAATAAAATTTTATAGGCCACCTTTAAATACTATAATTTCTAATCTTATTATTTATAATAGGTACTACATCTAAGGCATTTAATAAGAAAACTCAAATACTCTATCCATTTAGTATTATAAAAATTCTTAAATTGATTTGGAAAAACCGTAATTTGAATAAAAAAATTCTAAATTTGGTTTGTAAAAATCCCAATTTGGTTTGGAAAGTTCTAAATTTGATTTGAAAAATACTTAATTAGGTTTGGGACATTCTAATTTTGACTTGGGAATGCTATATTAACGATTATAAGGATTATTATACTGTTGTTAATACCATTATTAGAACTAAAGACAAAACAATTATGAACTAAGTAACATGTAACTTAAATAAATAAATATAAAAATAATATTCAAAATTATAAAATTTTATTTTCCTTACCTCGAACTATATACTATTTATCTATATAATATAATCTACATATACAAACAATATGTGAACAATTACAGTTTTATGAAACAATATAATAATTATATTTTAACCGAAGTAGATATAATTGCAATTTATTCGTCTATAAAGCAACAGAAGTTAAACATAAATAAACTATAGCGAAACACTGTTAGGTTACATCACTGATATTTGAGAGACTTTCTGGGGATTTCGTTTTAGAATATTTTAATAACTTCCAAAATAGCAGGATAGCAATGGCATTCTTATCATTCAAAAATATGTAAACTTATAGTCAATAGATATTAAATAACTTTTCATTAGTGTTAAAATAGTATAAATTAATAAGCTACAGCTGGGCCGTTGATAGTAATCGTGTTTTATCTTCAAGGACGTTCACCGCAAGAATGCAGATTGTGAATGCATAAAAGACGAGATAAGTTTAAAAGTCTGCGGTAGAAATATTAATGTCAAAACGTGGATATTTAACAAATTGTGTTTATTACATTTATTACGTTGGAGGCTTTGTTTATTTTAAAATAATCTGCACTACATACAATATGGCAATATATGTTGATCCATTTTCTGATTCTCGGCAGAGATGGATTTTGATTGATGAGGTGTCAAATGGGAGGAAATTTCATGGATGAGTGACGAATCCCAATTTCGAAAGTTAAATTTCTACTACAATTGTAATAAAAGTCATTGAAAAGATTAGGTTTCAAAACTCCGACGATGCAAAGTGGATGGATCTAGGTGAGACAAGTTTTAAGATATCGATGGGAGCGTCAGGACAGGATTAAAGCAAATAACGTACTGTTTTCGAGATAAATCGTTATTCATACCGCGTCTCCTAGGTGCCACAATTCCTATAGGACATTTATCACTTTTCGTCTAGGTTTCTTAAAAATTAAAATATCGCTATTCATTATGATGTACGACAAACTAAAAATCTATGAATAGGTAAACGAGAGAGCATAGTTTTGATGTTCCTTGGAGACCTCGAATAATATATATTTTGTTTACTCTTATTTTTGGTTTAAATTTTTCAGGAGACCTCTGTTGAACACAAATATACAATTTGTAGTACATTATATCCACAACGTTTAGAAAGGTTTTCAAATTCCTCACAAAATTAAAAAGAAAAAATCATCTATATTCGATCAAATTTAGCAAAGATAAAACCACTTGTAATTTGTACGCAATTATTTTCTTTTGTACAATTATTTTGAACTAGTTGGCCAGTGCGAATAATTCCCACAGTATTTTGTTCAGTAATAAAATGACAAATTAATAGGAAAATAAATAGTCAGTGGTACAGATACCTTATTATCAAATTATTGATATCCTACTTAAACTTCGTAAATAGCTTCATCTCATTGAGAATTTGCGAAAATTCTCGGAATTGGGAATTTTTCATTCTGGAGATCGACATACTTTTGTCTATCGAATAAGGCACTAAAAACTCGTAAATACCAATTAGCTTTCCAATTGAATCGTAAGATAATTGATGCACGAAATTGATAAAAAAAAGTGGCCTTCAAAGATATTATTCAATGCGGCGTGACCTAAACCCACAACTTGTCAAAATAACAAGGTTATATAAGTCAAACGGCCCAATATTTTTGTAAACCACCTTTTCACCTCGAAATCATGAGAAATTATCTTACGAACCTTAAGTGGAAAGGAAATGGTATTTACGAGTTTTTAGAGCCTAATTAAATAGACAAAGTTTATCTCCAGATTGAAAACGCCCCAATTCCAAGAGTTTTCGTAAATAAAATAGTTGTAGGTTACGAAGAGATGAAGCTATTTACGAAGTTTCAGACTGATGTTAATAATTTGATAAAAAGTGGTGGTCTGTACCACGGACTAAAAGTAATGCAACGTATCATAAGACAGAGAAACGGATTCTCACTCTCTCGCTAATTAAAATCTATAAAGGAAACAAAAATTTAAAACTTCATTGATATTTTGAACCAATATGTTTTTTTATTGTAGTATTTAGTTGTCCTTGGGCGCTGAAAGGACCAATAAGAGGAGTGTATTTGTATAATATATTGTAATTTGTTTATAAAGTTCAAATAAAGGAGTATCAGAAACGAAACAAAAAGAACCAGCATCTTTACAAAGTTCAATAAGCTGTATCTTTGCTAATAATTGTCCAATTTCGATTTTTTTTTTTATTTATTCAATATATTCAAATCGCTGTCTTGGGATTTAATTAAGAATCAACGAAGATAGGGCTTACCGACAAAAAACAACTTTGATAAATAATATAAACTCCCTTCTCTCGATCAAAGGTACCTCAAGTCGACGATATGAGACATGTATCCCGTGGTAGCATTACAATTAAGGCTAAACCTGACCTGCTACAACTTGAGGCTGTGTTGATGCGAACTCTTTGCCTTATAACATCTCATATGATAATATGATAATTGCATGTAGTACAATATTAGTATTGTATACTGTGTAAAGGTCTTGGTGTACGCATCAAAATCTTCAAAGCCCAATTTGTCCCTTATCGATCTACAGACTTACTACCGTTCCAATACTGATGGCTAACAGAAGTTTACATCGGCTTTATTTTAGGAAGAAACACAATAGTGGGGAATATGATTGACTAACCTTCCGTGAAATTCTGGTACCCCATTCATGGCATTTGAACATGGCAGGAGGAAACGTGGTACAAAACCTATTTTGAGCCTTACTGTAATAACCTAACCACAAATATAGTACATAGGTTGATTATGAATATTTATTATCATTTATTTATTCAATTTTAAATATTTTAATAAACCATATATTGGTTTATTATTTTCAATTATGAACCATTGTGATCGACCAAAAAATTAAAAAACTTAACCCCCTCTCAAAATTTGAGGTTTTACGTTTCAGGAAAGGTAGGATTCGAAAAACGAATAACAATTTTTTTGCCCGTCCGCCGTCCGCGCATTTTCTCCGAAACTACTGGACCGTGTTTTATTTGGATATAAAATCAGAGGTCACCGGAG